AAACTGCTTTGAGAGGGCTGTAAAGCACTATAAAGCAGTATATAAATCTAAGTGCTATTGCTATATTCTCAGAATTATCAATTGCATACTATAAGAGCTAGAGAGCATGCTGTAAGGAGGAAAGAGGGGAATCTAATTCTGGATACAAATACAAAAATCTAGGTCCAATCCAAATCTTTTGTTAACAGTTGTGCTAGTTGATCTCTATTCCCAATCTAATCTGTATATTTCTTTGTTTCAGAGCAGGCTATAGATTTAGGCTTTCCAGGAGCAGGACTGCTAGTACCATCTTGCCAGTATGCCATGGTGCCTTTGCGAGGAGTTTCTACTCAAGTTAATGGGCTACATTATGCAAATGGTGGAAATGGTCATTTTCCTTCTGCTACAGTTGGATATTCCTATCCAAAGTCATATGATTGCAACTCAGATGAAGCTCAACAGGTAAATTAATAATCCATCTTTGGAAACTGTTAGGTAATTTTCTCATGCCTCTCATAAAATGTTGGCTAGTATTCAATGTTGGATATTTCTACAACTGGTTTGCCTTATAGGATAGGAGTCGAATGAAAATGTTTGCCACAAATATCGATTTCCTACTTAAATTAAAGGAGGATTCAACAGTAATAAGCAAATAAGTTTCAGTAAAAATATCGAATAGTTGAGTAAAGTAGAACCTTTGAGTTTATAGCTAGAGAAACAAGCCCCAAATTCACTCTTATATAAATAGATCTATCTACATTCTAAAACATGCCAATATAAAGTTGCTATGGATATTGAGTCTAGTTTTCCAAATCAGCTTTATTGTTTAATGTTGGATCCAATCTTATTGCTAAATTCTTAAAATTGAGTGCCTGCTGCATCACTTCTTGACTTGGCTGACTTGAATGGACTTGACATCTAATCGTTAATCTTTATTTTTTTAATGTGCTAATTCTTCTTTTTGTTCTCAGCAAAATGAAACCAATGCTTTTCTGCAAGGAAGGGCACTACAAAATGGAAACAATCTATCTGAACCCCAAAGGTATGGTGTCTTTCTGTGGAATATTTTGCTCTTTGGTTTGATGGAGAACGAGAATTTTTATTGGGCAATCTTTTCCTCTAAAGTCTTTTTTTTAATGTAGATTGAAAAATATATTGTACATTACTCAATGACCAATGTACAGTCATGGTTTTTGATTATCCAAAAGATTTTTTTCATAACACATCAAAGCAAAAAAGTAGATTCTTGATATAATTGGAACATTTTTGATTATGGGAATCAATTTGATGTGAATTGCTGACAACTACAAGTTTTTTCCAGGATGATCTGTCCCCAGCCTAATTCTTCAGCTATTCCAATGGTACACCAATTTCTGCCTTAATTAAGTCAATCTACTTTTCTTCCACCATTCCCAGAATTATAGCCTTCTTCAGAGAGCTGCATCTTCACATAATATGTTCAAAGTTTGATAATTTGGGTCTGGTCATTTGTGTCTGAAATGAGAACTATGGGTGAACTTTGTTTTCTTGGCTAATCATATTTTCAGGGGTCTTCTAAAATACTAACATTCAAAACATCAATACTGTTTCTATTCAGTTCTTCAACTTTTGCTTTCATGGAGTATCTGTATGATTCTGAAGTTAGTATGTAATAGACACATCCTGACATTTGAGTATATAGAGTATATTTACTGTAGTTATCTATAGAACATTCACTTATACTATTCAAATCATGTGTTTTACAATGCACAAAAATTTGGTTCTCCTAAGAAATAATTAGCATTTTAACACATAATAAATATCTCTATATTAATTTATAAGAGTGCTTTTCCTTTAGAATCTCAAATGTGAAAGAAAATTAAGACTTGACAATTTCTCTTACTTTGACTATCTGCATACATAAGAAATTCAGTAACTGGATCACTGATGTCCTCACATGCTCCTGTCTCTTATATTTAGGCTTACTAGCCCTGGACTAGAACACAGTTCTTTTCTCTGTGGTCTGCCAGATGACTCCATGAATCAGCTGTTACAGCAACATGACAACTGCCAAGAACAATACCACCATCATGAACAACTCCTTAGCCTGTGTCACTCGACACCACAAAGAAAAATAGAAAATTCCACTATGGAAGACATGAGGAATTCTGTTTTCCATACAGGTCAGTACCAGAGAGATCTGAGGTATTTTTTAAAGTATTGATTTGAAGAAGTAATGAAGACCAGAATAAGGGAAGATCAGTGGACACAAGATATTTCTAATCACACAGAATATGTTTTAAAAATTAAGCATTTACCAGAGATAGTCTATTAATAATCAGACTTGCTCATTAGGGATAGCACATTAATATTTCTTATATTATTTATACTGCTAGCTAAAATCTGTATACTTTACCAGTAACTCAAAATGCCAAAAAAAGGATTTTCCTGTTAAGTTGTATCTAGAAAATGTTAACGTTTCAATTCTTGCACCATCTCGTAGGGCCACCAAAACTGTGAATAGATTGTTATGGGTCTGAAATAACTGAAATGTCAACAGTGATTGTCAGGAAGCTTTTACTAATATGCATCTTAATAACATAGATTAGATTTATTAATCAAATGCCAGTAAAAATTACTGAAATTAATCTTCTTTTACCAGTAATTCTTAACATTGTTAGCTCATGTCTTCTCATGTAAAATGTATCAGTATATATTCCTATCTTGTTTCCTCCCAAAAATTATGCAGGATCTCAGAGTTTGTAACAATTTGGTTTCCCTTCAAAATATTTGGAATACAAGAGTCTGATAAAGAATGCAGTTTGATTCTTATTCTTTGTATTTTCAGATTCCACTTGCTGTCTTAGTCTAGTATCTGTTGAACACACAGGGGGAATAGATTTATGCCAAAAGAGAAGACATGTGTGGCCCACAAATCCAGAGGATGTTTCTTCAGGAGAAAGCTCAGAGAAATATTTGAATAGCTTGCCTCTACATAATTCCTCAGATACTTGTTCCAGCATCAGATAAGGAACAAGCTGCCTTACAAAGATTATTCTAAACAGAGAAAAGTTTATTTATTTTTATATTACATTTTTATTTATATATTTATACACTTGTAAATAGATGTACATGTGCCTTCTATAATTACAGAGAGGAATTATATCATGTGAAAACTACAGCAGGGAATAAACCAAGACTAAGTCAACTATATATATTTTTGTTAGATCATGGACTTGAAAAGACAGATTACTGCTTTATGTCTTAAAGGGGCATTCGAGCTGTCTTCATTTTCCAATTGCTAGAATTGTATTTCTAATGATGAAACTATGGGAAATTCTTTTTCTATAATTGTGTTAAAAGATTTTCACTGCAGAATGCCAAATACAAAAGTTAATGCACCATTTACTTGCATTAAAAACAATATATATACCGTGTGCCAGTAATGAAAAAAACATGTTTCAGAAATAAAGCATTTCTCCTTTTTTATTGAACTTGTTTTTGTAAATATTTGCTTGCTTTTAAAATCTTGACAACTGTAAAATGATCCTTACAGTTCTTTTAATTTAAAAAGTTCACTGAACTATTTCAATTAGGAATCAACAAGAGAGAGTCATTCAATAAAAGGAAGCCACTTTTTATAAATATACCTGCATGGCAACACATGACTAGAATACATTCTTGCTGATTCCAGTGTCTTCTACTCCTCCAAAAGCTTTCAACAGAAAGACAAACACATTTTTTCCATATTATGTTTAATTTTATTTTCAAATTAGCTAATGTCTCTGATCTTCCACCATGCTAAAATTGTTCCTTCTTTCTGTCCCCCCGCTTCCCAATACTTGCTTGGCTTGCTAGATCTATACTATATCTCTCTGTGCCATTTGAGTCCTCTAAGTGGCTTTCCTTTCCAAATGTCTGCAACATCAGCTCCGTTCCTTTCAAGGGTCTTGAAGAAACAGAGCTCTGGCTTCTACCTCTCTTTTTCTGAAAAATATTCTAATCTAGACTGGGGGTGTCAAACTCACATCATGGCAGCGTCATGTGACATATTGGGACTTTTTCCCCCTTTGTTAAACATGGTGTGGGCATGGCCAGCTCTGTTCTAGACCACCATGGAACCGGACATGCTCAGAAAAGGAAAGGTAAAGAAATAGTCTACCAAAATTATTTTTAATTCTTTTAAAAAATGGGACTGAAAAGTGAGACCCCACCCCAAGAGTCAACTGCTTAATATCAGATTACTATAACAAAGTAATATGGTGAGACTCAGGCCCAATAGTATGTTTAAAATTTAATTACTCCCATATGCTTTATTACATAATATGAAATTAGAATCTGAAAATATTTCCATATGTTAGCTATGAAAATTATAAGCAGTTCACATAGCTGAGCAGCCAGCAAGTGACATTGCCAATTTCAAAGTCTGTAACAGTTTAAGATACTGCAGAAGGAATAGTGATGACATGAGAAACTCTGCTGGTATTTTTTTTCTCAGCCAACTGCATCTTGACAGAATGCCAAGACTTGGCCCCATTTTCCAGGTTATTGGTGGCTTACTTTGGATCTGGCGTAGTCCAAAGATTCTCATGTGCATTATAGTAATACAGTATTGTTTCATACTGTGACAAAGAAACAGTTTTACCAGCAAATTGAGAACAAATTCCCATTTGCAAACTATTGCTTGTTTGACATGTACAAATATGTATGCTGGATTAGAAAATAGAACTATTTGGAGATTTTAAAGTTGAGAGCCTTCACATACCCACAGGGAACCCAACTGATTAGAAGAATGAGAGATATAGTCTATTTTATCAAGAATGTTTCTATATCTTTAATAACTGTCATTCGAATGGTACAGGTTTTGTCAATCACTGCATCTCCGGAGAAGTTACAAAGTTCAGCCAAAGCAATAGTTCAAGGCAGAACATTTCTTCCAGAATTAAAATAAACAAGGGTAAACTCTCAAGAGCACTAGTTATATACATGAAATGAGACTGATTTTTATATATATATAATAAAAACCAAGACTAGGATACTGTTTAATCTATAATTTCATCTTGCTGGAAAAGATTTTGAGTGGCTGGGAAGATACGACCATCCTTTCGACTCAGGAGAGTTATTTCTTCTTTCAAGACCTCAGCTTCTTGAGCTTGCAGCTGAACAAGTGCAATTAATTTTTCCTTTTCCTCAATATCTGTTCTGCGAGGTCCTTGAAATTCTGTTCCCTGTAAAACAAAATGCAGAAACTTTTCTAAAAAATCTCAATAATAATCATTTGGATTGGTTGTTGTCCAGGACAACAAAGATTGAGCAAGCTGTTGCGTTCCTGAACATCTGCTGACAACTGGGCTATGGGGTATAGGATTGTTGGCTGAGCAGCCAATGCCAGCAGCTGCAGAACTACTGGAAGAAAAGTTGTTTAGTGGTCATAAATATATGTATACAAAGGTTAAAAACAGAAATATTAATACTGCTAATACAAATCAAGTCCAATGAGAAGGCGATATCTGAAAAAAATCTGCACCAGTTCTAGAAAGTACCCACACCCAGAATCAAAAATAAAGAATAAAAGCTAGCAAATCAATGCTATATTACTATATATGTATGTTAAAATACAAAAAAATATTCACAGAAGTAGAATTGGGAGAACACTTAGAAAATATAATGTTGACAAAATTTCCATCTGTCAATTATAAAAGCTATTGCATCCATACTATGCCAATGCAATATAAAATGCTAGGTTCTTTGGAAGAACTCAGTGCAAATGAAAGCCAACAGCAGTTAAAGAACTGCCAGCTATAATTTCACAGTGTTAAATACACATTCTTCACAACTAAACAATCCAAGCATGCTAACAAAGTATGCTACATGAGCCAAGATGGCAGGGTGGTTAGAATGCAGTACTCAGGCTACTTCTGTTGACTGCCAGCTGCCTCTAATTTGGCAGTTCAAATCTCACCAGCTCAAGGTTCACTCAGCCTTCCATTCTTCCAAGGTGGGTAAAATAAGGATCTAGCTTGTTGAGGGCAATATGCTGACTCTGTAAACCATTTAGAGAGGGCTGTAAAGCACTGTGAAGCGGTATATAAAGTGCTATTGCTATCCCCTTTTTGGCTTGATGAAAATTATATTTTTGTTTGCTTGCCACTTAGATAAAAAGTGCAACTTGTAACTAGATTAAATATCTTAATTTTGGTGATTAAACTGTGGTCTTATATACAATAAAGGTCATAGATCAATTTGAGTATCTTGAATAGTAGCCACATATACAGAATAACAAATAATGGTCAACCTCTTGTTACAACCACTGTAGAAATCCTTAAAGATAAAAGAAAATGCTTTCAGGGTTATTATTCATGAATTTCTAAAGTAACACATACCAAGTTGCTCTGCAGTGCATCCAATTTAGTTTCAAGTTTCATCTTTTCTATGCAAAATGCATTCATTTGCTTTATTTTACTTGTATTTTCTTTTGTTACCATCATTTGCTGCTGACGCATCTCAAGGATCTTATCCTGGAAGAGAGCCAGCATATAAATTAATTTATTAATAACTGCATCCATATCTCGTATTTCCACTTGAGAGCTCAAGAATTCCCTTCACTTATCATAACAGCCAATTTAGTACTGACTGAGAACTCAGTGTGCAATACTGGTTAGGTAGGGATCTGAAGATGTACTGCCCTCTCAAAAACAGGGTGAATATTTGTAAATCACAATGAAGTTGACTTCTGAGTTAAGCATTCCACGCAGTCAAATAAATCAGGAGAAAAATGGAAAGACCGCGTATTATATTGAGTGTCATATGTATCTAGGAAGAATTCATGCTATTGGTGCCTAAACCCAACCTGGCTTCCTCTCCAGCCCCCTGCAGCACACTTGATTTCTAATTTTTGATTGACCTCATGCAACCCAGACAGGGACAGGCAAAAGTCTGGATGTGGCCCAGGGGCTGTAAAATACCTAAGCCTGCCTTACCCAATACACCAAACTCTTTTCTTTTTAGAAAACTTGAAATAAAAATGAAGCATGAAGTGATTAAAATGAGATATCATTAAGATTATTTAAGTTTTGCTCCATTTTTTCAAAAGGCAATGTCAACAAAAAATAAAAATTTCTCAAAGTTTCTATTCCTGAGATATACTTTTGTCCCTCACTTTCCTATCATCAGTTTTAACAACTTCTCTGAGCCAATAGTTCATCATTTAAATTTTTGTTAACATTGTTTCTAACCTTCCACATAATTTCTACAAAATAAGAAAACAGATTACATGAAATGCAGTATGTGGTTTAATGCAGAGTGACGTCTTTTTTGACTCATGCCCCAAGCATCTTCAATGCCAATCCATTTCATACTTTCAAAGGTTGGTTCATAGTATTGATTCAATATCAAGACATACCTCCCATGTTTTTAATTCCATGGCTTGAACTCGCTCTTTCTCCATTACTTTCATCCTGAGTTCTTCCAGGTTTGTGTTAACAGAAAGAGTCTGCAGAGCTTCCAAGTCTACAATCCGGCCAAATTTCATCATCATCAGCTGATTGCATTTCTCTTCCAGTTCTAAAAGATGGAAGCTTTATATTGTAGCGATTTGTAAATTGTTTTCCATCTTTAAACAATGTTTTAAATTATATTGTCTTGAAATACTGAAGCCCAATACTACATTTTCAATAAATACAGCAAGGATGCACACTAATATCATACCTAAAAAAAAATTTCTGTTCTCATTGTAAAAGTAAGAAAGAAAGCTTACAGCTTACTATGTGCTATACCATTTTACTGTCTGAGGTGAAGAACAAGATGGCATATTTTCCTGAGCCTCATATAGAAATTGAACCAGACAAACAGCTTTATCTTACTTTGAAACAGTGAGTTCAGCAAGTTTGATAAGAAAGTTAAGTTAAGAATTAGAGGGGAAACAAAGTAACTGAACACATTTTATTCCTTTAAAGAGCAGTAGATAGTGTAAGATCAGCTAAGCTCATATTAGAGCTAAGTGATTCCTTTTTAAAAACAAAATAATTGTGATAACTGAAATTGGCACGCATGATTAGAAAGGCAATCCAGAGGATACATAGCACTGTGCACAATGTCTTCTTCGAATCACTAATTAAATATTGCTGGTATTTGCTATCCCACCTTCCTAATGGTAAGTCTGCCTTAGTGGTTCAATGTCTAGGACGGTATTGAACTGTAGAAGCGATGTTGTAAGACATTTCCACCTTTCTATGTCAACATCTACATTTCTAGAAAAAAACTAGAGTATAAACGACCCTTGCAGGAAATAATAGTTTATCATTTATTTGCCCTGGACCAAAATGAAAAGTCATTACATGCTAATTAACTTGAAATTAGCAACTCACGCTCAATCGTATGTGCTATTTCTCTTCTGTCTCGAATTAGTTGTTTATGTTGTTCCCGGGCCTTCTTATAAAGAAACCTCTGTTCTAATTTCTCCTGCTGCAAAGTCGTAATTCTTTGCTGCAAGCTCACTAAAGATAGGTTGGTAAATACCAAAGATTGTGAGAGGTCAGAGGGAATTTCTCCATTCGATATATATTCCACCTGCAAATAAAAGTAGAATACATAAATAGAATACATAAATCCGAGAGCTCTGTATTATTTTGCTAATTCTCACTGATTTTCTACAAGAACGTCCAAGAGTTGCTCATATGCTTCTAGATAAACTGTCAGTCTAGAGAAACAAAATAATTCTGTTCAATTATTGAAGCAGCTTCTTGAATGAAAAGTGAAACATCTTCAAGAACAAAGTTTTTCCAAAAGGTACCTTCTGAGAAAGCACCCTTGACACAATTCTGTCCAATATTTTAAACAGATCGGTTATGAAGATGGCTTGAAAAATGCTTCAATTGTATACCAGTAGCAATAAACAAAAAATTTACAAGTCGTCATATACAAAAAGAAGGATTTATCAAAAGTCCAATCATCAGCAGTAAAATCCATCTGAATCATCACCTGGTGAAGTTTTAGAGGCACTACGACATGCAGCTCATTCAGCCTCTGTTGCTTTTCTCTCTGAAAGGCCTCAAGTTCCCATTCTGCAGCATCTAGGCTGGTTGCCACTACTTTCACCTGTTAAGAAATAGCCAGGTTACAAAAGAAAGATCTAATAAGGAAGGCACTAACTACCACAAAAATGATTTATTAAATTAAGGTACAACAGGAGAAAGTGATCTGTTATTTTTCTGCTATAGGAAAACTATTTTTTTCTTTTTGTCAGTTTTTTAGCTGAGGAAATAAGGAAGTGATAGCATCTGCAAAGCAAAGAATGTTATCAAGCAAACAAACAAGCATGTTGTCACATAGCCCAAATAGATGTTTACTATATTTCTAATATAGTCCATATTAAGAAAAGTTCATTTAGGCAACAAACATATCAACTTTAAGTCATCATAGGACATTTCATCTGTTATTTCAGATTATTATTCCAAACTTCAATGAGTAGAATGAATACCATCCAAAATTTGCTTTATAGAATTGTTGCTTCCATAAAGTGACTATTCCAGCCTTAATATTCGAACCCACACCTAAGTAAACAGCAAAGGTGGGCTTTCAGGGATATATTACTAGCTAGGGGATAAGACTAGCTAGTTGAAAAAAAATCACTGTACCTTCTTTGTCAATGCTTCATATTCTTTCTTGCAATTTTCAATAGCTTTTCTCTCCTCAGCTAAAGCCTCCTCAATATCTAGTCGTTTCTCTCGAAGCTGCAGCGTGTTCTCAAAGAGTGACTCATCACAATCTGACATAGGAAAGAATTCAAGTTAAATAACTACTACAATTTTAGCTTAGTCTGAAGTTATTTTAAAACAGCAATCTAAGAATTAGCTTAATGATGTAAACTGTGCATAGTTATTTAGAACTGTACTACTACAAATACTTCCATACATTCTGAATTATTAATTAATTAATTATTAATTATTCTGCACCAACTCAGAAAGCTCAAACTGCTCAAGGAGCTGCTGATTCAGTTCTACAGAAGAATTATTGAATCTATCATCTACACCTCTATAACGGTCTGGTTTGGTTCTGCAACCCAATAGGACTGACACAGACTTCAGAGGATAATTAGGACTGCAGAAAAAACAATTACTACCAACCTGCCTTTGTTCTAGGGCTTGTATATACTGCATGAGTCAAAAAGAAGGCTGTGAAAATATTTACAGACCCCTCACATCCCGGACATAAACTGTTTACAACTCCTTCCCTCAAAACAACGCTATAGAGCATTGCACACCAGAACAACTAGACACAAGAACAGTTTTTTCCCCGAAAGCCATCACTCTGCTAAACAAATAATTCCCTCAACACTGTTCAACTATTTACAAAGTCTGCACTACTATTACTATTAATCTTCCCATCACTTCTTATCACCCATCCCCTCCCACTTGTGACTGTATGACTGTAACTTTGTTGCTTGTATCCTTACGATTTATATTGACTGTTTCCTAGTATGATTTGATTACTTATTGTACCCTATAACTATTATTAAGTGTTGTACCTGGTGATTCTTGACTCTTGACGAATGTGTCTTTTCTTTTATGTACACTGAAAGCATTTGCACCAAGATAAATTCCTTGTGTGTCCAATCACACTTGGCCAATGAAAGAATTCTAATTCTAATTATGCTTCTAAATAAACTTGCACATTTTTGAACTGCACAAATACCAGCCATTAGGATCATCAACATTACTTTAATCATAAGTTTTAGAGTTCCAGCTCTGAAATAAAAATATCAAGAGAAGCGATAAAGCAATGAAAGTATGAAATTCCCTCAGCCAGGAAGAGTGGATTTAGAAATGCCTGAAATCTTAGCTGGTAAATTGCATTGGTGATTCTTTGTGAAATAGCAATTTGTTAAGATTAGGGAGGGAAGAGAAAGTGTTAGTGTGGGGATGAGCAAAAATGGTAGAGTGGAAATAGAAAACAGCAACAATCAAAGCTGATTGCAGAAGCTGTGATGGTTTGGGAATAGAAGTATGACAAAGAAGAAAGTAGAACATATTAGTTGTGGGAAGATACAGGGGTGGGCAGGTAGGGCATTGCAGGGGTTTGGGAGAGCCCCTAGCTAAGATTCTGCAAAGTCCAGAGAACCCCCAAATCCCACTCCTGGCTGGCCCCGCCCATCCCTCCCAGTCCAGGAATCCCCACGTGGACCGTTTTGAATGCAGGTAAGTGCATGGTGTGCACAGAGGCTCGGGGAGGGTGAAAAATGGGCCTCCTGGAAATTCAGGAAGGTCGGAAATGGGCCTGTTTCTGGCTTCCAGAGAGCCTCCGGCGCCCAGGAGGATGTTTTTGCCCTCCCGGAGGCTCAAGGAAAGCCTCCAGAACCCAGGGAGGGCAAAAATGCCCCGCCTGCTGTAGTGGCCACACCCACCCAGCGACTGGGCAAAAATTTGCTAAAATTTTTGAAGCCCACCCCTGGGAAGATACTGGAGGAATTGAAAAGACCCAATACTGGGTCAGCCTTCATTGCTTTCTGTGCTCTTCTATTCAGAGAACTGTGTCCCGCAAAAGTGTAAAGTCAAATCCTCAATATCATAGGAGAAAATATCTGTAGCTCAGGGTTTTGAACTAGTGCCCTCTGAGTTTGGTTGTTTTCTTGCAGATGTTTCATTACCAGACGAGGTAAGATCATCAGTGATTACCCAGTTTGGTAATGAAAGATCTGCAGGGAAACATCCAAGGTCAGAGAACACCGTGGATCCCACAGTCCTCAATAAGGTGTTGATTCACAATGAGAAGGAAGAGGGGGTTCCTGGAATCATACCAGCTGCTAAAAGAATATAGCTGCCTCTGGCTGATTTTTAGTTGAACTCCTACCTGGACCACACGTCTTGGTAACGATAACTAATGTCTTGGATCTTCACACATTACAAGTTTACAGCAACTCATTATATGTAAGGCAGCTTTTGGAGATTATTTGGAAACTTTGATTGATCTAGAATGGAGTGGTCAAATTGCTGACAAAACAATCCGATAATGCTAATTTTGAGATCAGTGCATGGCTAACAATAATCTTCTGGGCCCAATTCAAGCCCTATGTGGCAAAGCACTGAGTTACATTGTGTATTGCCTTGCCAAAGTTGATTTTGCCAATTCTGAATATCTTAGGCTGAGCTACTAAAATCCTACCTCTCCAGAAAGTGCATGGAACTTGGGTGAGGCAATAAACTTGCTCTTTATTGGCCACATACCCTGGAACATTGTACTTATAGAGTAATACAATTACATTGTTAATTCAAGCTGACCATTCACGTTCTGCCTTGGTGTGAATGTCTTATTCTAATTTGATTATTTTAATTTTTCATGCTTGGTTGTACACTGATCAGAGCATAAAAATTGCAAACAAATAAATACAATAAATACATCCATATTGGGTAATACTGGTATATGAAAAAGAAAGTAATTAAAGGACAGAGATTATTTTCTTCACTGATCTATTCTTTTTTTTCAGCTACTAATCTACTCTGTAAGTCCCCTAAGTAATAATCATCATCATTTACTTTATTGCTATTATTATATAACAGAACAAAAGCAATTAAAGATAGATGGAGAGATAGAAGGAAAGAGAGGGAGAAATCATATTGAAAAATTCAATATACTGGGAATTCTGGGAGTTGAAGTTTACACATCTTTAGGGCTGCCAAGGTGAAAAAGATTTATAGTAAGAATGAGCCTACTAAACTTTCCCTGGGACCAAAACAATAATGAGAATTCCAAGATTATATTACAGTATTTTATTATGGGTAGGTACCCTCTATGTCTACAAAAACACAACTATAAACTGAAAATTGCAAATGCAAATCACAGTAGAATGTCACAGAGAAAAATTTGAAGAACTCATAGTTTTCTCTATGGTTTATATATAAAAAATATTCTACAGAACATGGTTTTGAAATAGCAATATAGCTCAGGCTCAGGCTATCCTTAGGTCACATTATGGAAATTTCTGTTAATACGAAGTGATGGACTGAAATCACAAGATGGCAACAAAAGGCTTAGTTTGAATTTTGACCTCAAAGGGGTTTTTTTTGGAATAAAATCCATAACAATATGAAATTTTTCCCAGGGGCTTTTAGGAAAAGCCATCAAGGTTTCATATCAGATAGCTTGCTATTTATTCAACATTAATTTCTTCACATAATTAACAAGTATATTTATTAGTACAACTGTATTGGCACAACACACATACACTATGCAAGCAAGGATATAATCTGTGTTGCAAATAAATGAAGCTAAGTTTTGGAAATGTTATGTTTTCCTGATACACAAGCACATTCTGACAATTCGGATAGTTTGCCATATATACTATCAAAATTTGAAGTTTCTGTTTTTAAAAAAAAGTATTTTATTGTTTCCAAATGGTATATTTGCAGAAAAGATTATGCTACTTACTTTTTGGACAAACACTATCGTCAAAGACTTCATCCTCAGATCCTGATTCCTCTTCATCACTCTCTAAACTAGACTCCTCTTCACTCTCTTCCTCACTTTCTTCATCTTCATCTGGAATTAAATAATGTGATCATGGCACAGAAAATCAACAGAATCCAATTTCATTTGACTAACTTTTCAGCTAAGAAAAGTTAAAAAACATGGCAGATATTATTAAGAATGGGAAAACAAAAAAACAGGAGGTAGGAAATTCTTGCAAAATTTGGAGCTTATCATTTGCTTTCTTTTTGCACTCCACTTATCAAAAATATGCTTTCATTTTCCATAGGGAGTTGGAAGCCAAACTTATATAAGGATGCACATACACAAGATGGCATATCATGGAAGTGGTATGTGTAAGTGGATTTGTGTAAGATGAAATAATAATAAAAAGTAATGTCAAAATAATAATTATTATAATTTATCTAACTGTTTTCTATAGAAAACAGTACAGATGCTCTTTCCTAATAACTTAGACACACAGAAGAATTACTAGGTGGAACATGCAGTGTTTACTTTAATCTGCACTGTAATGTGGAACTTTTTAAAAAGTAAGAAGATAATCAAGAAACTATGATTCTGATCTACCTCCTTCACCTTCCACTTCTTTCTTCTTAACACGTTTGATCTTCTTCTTGAGAACTTTTGTAAGGAATGTAGCAAACTTGTTATTTTCTCCCAAGGATGCTTGAAAAGTGGCATACAGGATTTTTTCTTTTTCTTGGAGCTTTGCAATTTCTGATTTTTTATTCTCTATTAGGGCAAGCCAGTCATTTAACTTGTTCTTTTATTAAAAAAAACATTGAAAGCAACAAAGCTAATTAATATTGATGTTAATATTAACAATATGATATATACAGAACTTGATTTAAATTCTTAAAGTGAAAGTGTCACTATTATTCTCTGTCCAAAAATATTAACACAAGGAATGGGGAACTGGAACAAATTCCTCCATCTTCGAATTATACTGTGAGAATTCTAGACAGAATGCATTAAGAAAAATAAATCCAGACAGTCCTTGTCCAATACTTCCATCCATACACTATCTCCATCTTTCCTGCCTATATAAGAACAGCCTATGTACACTGAATCTTCAGGATGTAAACCATGATGCAACAGATACACAGATTCACACCAATCACACAATTATCTTTTGGAATAAGCAATGCTATACAAACCTTAAAGTAGGAAGCAAAAGATATTAAACAAAAGAAAGAAAAAAAACTCTTCAAACTACTTTATACGATGCCATTTGCCATATGTCTAACTTTTCTACTTTTCCAAATCATTCTTGTTTCCAGCATGTCCATATACCAAATTATAAATCACATTTCATTCTTTAAACTTCTCACCTAATTCTTTCTGAAAAATATATCAACTCCATCCAATCTTCCTGTCCACCTTTTCACGATTCCTTTATATATGTTTTGCAATGCAATCCTTATTCAGCTATCCAGACTTGGTCTGGAGTTGGCTGACACCAAAAAACATATGGACTACACAACTTGATCAGGGCAAAGCAATAGACGCAATCTACATAGACTTCTGTAAAGCCTTTGATTCAGTGGTACATGACAAACTACTCCTAAAACTAAAATCTTATGGTATCTTTGCATAACTGGATAGAAGCATTCCTGTCAAACAAACAAATGATCAAAATTCTGTACCTGTCAACAGTGGTGTCCCCCAAGGCAGTGTTCTAGGACCAACTCTCTTCATACTCTACATAAATGACCTCTGTGATCATATTAAGAGCAACTGTGTCCTCTTCGCTAACAATGTAAAGCTATTCAACACCACAGACAATACTGCTACCCTTCAAAAAGACCTCGACTATGTATCAGAATGGTCAAACAAATGGCAACTTCAAATCTCAACAAATAAATGCTCTGTCCTACATATTGGCAAAAAAAAAATCAGAAAATAAAATACAGGCTGAATAGTCAAGACCTTGTTGATGATCCAAACTCTGTCAAGGACCTTGGAGTACTCATCTCTAGTGATCTAAGTGCTAGAGCCCACTGTAACTACATAGCCAAAAAGGCATTAAGAGTTGTTAACCTAATCTTACGGAGCTTTTTCTCTGGTAATATTACACTAATAACTAGAGCATACAAAACATTTGCTAGACCAATATTTGAATACAGCTCATCAGTCTGGAACCCACATTATGTATCTGATATTAACACAGCTGAGAAAGTCCAGAAATATTTCACAAGAAGAGTTCTCCACTCCTCTACTCGTTGTAGAATACCTTATGCCACCAGACTTGAAATTCTAGACGTAGAAAACCTACAACTACGCTGCCTTCAGTCCGATCTAAGTATAGGATATAAAAATCATACATTGCAATGTCCTACCTGTCAATGAATACTTCAGCTTCAACCATAACAACACAAGAACAAACAAAAGATACAAACTCAAGGTTAATCACACCAAACCTGATTGCAGGAAATACGACTTCAGCAACAGAGTGGTCAATGTCTGGAATACTCTATTTGACTCTGTGGTTTCTTCCCCAAACCCCAAAAACTTTAACCTTAGACTGTCTACTATTGACCTCACCCCTTTCCTGAGAGGTCTGTAGGGGGCATGCATAAGCGCACCAACATGCCTACCATTCCTGTCCTATTGTTTCTTTTCTTTTTTATATGTATCCATGTATTCATAACTATGTTTTTATTTATACCTATTATCTTGTAAGCAATTGACAAACCAAATAAAATAAATAAATAAATAAATCAAATCATATCAAATCAAATCAACCAACCAACCAATCAATCCTCTTTTAATTAATATTTCTTCTATACTGATAATACACTTTTGTGTTCAATCTGCATTCATTCCATACCCACCCATCCTAGGACTCTAGCTCTTCTTGTTTTACTAAACAAATATAAAGTATCTCAAGTATTCCACTCTGATTGGATGCAATTTACTTTTATTCTTTTCTAACATGAGTTCCAACTCTCTCAACAAAATACATTTTTGTAGGTATTACCTATCGTAACCATAGGCTAAGATGAAGGCCTATATTGATGTATATATTACATACTTGCATTTCCTCTTCTTCACTGACAAGGCTGTTGACACGTTCTTGGAGAATGTCCTCATGTTTTTCAAAATTCTTCAGGAGAAGCAGTTCTTCGAACCAAGTGATGTGGCGCAGATCAGCAGTTTTCATTAGTATGTCAAGTTTCATCTTTTGGTGACGGAGAAGGTGAAGTTCAGCATCAAAAGTTATCATCAGTTCATCTATCTATAAAGCAAGTAAAGAAAGAAATAACAGGAGGAAAACAATAGTATAAATTAGACAACACATAATCTAAAAACTGTATTCTATAAAGGTAAAAATTTCAGATAGCATTATTTGAATTTAATTGGGAGCCACCTAGAGTTGGTTGAAAGATAGGCAGCTATATAAATGGTTTAAAATAAATAAAGAAATGGCATTTATATTGCATTTATTATTTGTATTTATTTATTTGCATTATGTTTATTACTTGTATTTATTATCAAAGTATGGTATGTTTAATTTTATTATTTATTATTTATTTATTTATTACATTTGTTTGCTGCCCATCTCACCATGTGGTGGCTCTGGGCGGCTTACAGTGATAAAAAGAATAAATCAATATGAAATGTATACAGTAAGAATAAAATACTATAAAAATACAGCTAAAACTAAAAATGGGCACAAAATGTTGTTTTTTTAAGGTAAAAATTGTTTAATTTGTCTGCAAACATTTTATTCCAACTTGGCTGTTCTCAAGGAAAAATAATTAAAGAGTTAGTTATTCTAATACAATCTAATTGATGTTTGATGCAATATCACAAATTCTGTCCGGTCTGGTCACAAAATATAGGGCAGCCTTTTCCAATATGTTAAAGCCAGATCTGTACAATTTCAGCTATTGTAATTCTTGCCAGTACTGTAATATTTTAATTAGCAGAAACAAAAATATAGAAACAGAAAATAATTTTACATGTATAATCTTTTCAAAGCAACTTCTCACCCTCTTGATCAAAGTTTCCTGTAGATGAACATTTCTTATCTCCTCCCTCTGTCTGATTTCCAATTCAAGGTCTGTTGGTTCTGCCTGCTGAATCTCAAATATTTTAGGTGGTGCCTCAGAAATTCCAGATGGTAGTCTCCCTGGCCTTAAAGTTGCAATCCTACCACTCTCTATTTCCTTGATTGAAGGACTATGAAGAAATCCTCCACCAAATCCTCCTAAACTTCCAGACTCTATAGAAGGAATCGATGACGCTATTTTTTTCAACTTCTCTTGGTCTTCTGTTTCTTGTTTGAACTTCAAAAGCATGTCATGGTCATACTGGAAATGTTTTTCTGGTGTCTCTTCTGGAAGTAGATGAGGAACCGAAGGTATTGGCAGATGTTTGGAGGGATCCAGAGATGATTGTATAGCTTTTAATTCTTGTACTACGCACTGAATCTCTTCTATAATAGCAACTTTAAGATCTCGGAGAGACACAATCCATTTGTTCATCATCAGCTTTTTCTCATGTATCTACAAAGAATAGAACAAGTCACTTTATTAGGTAGAAAATGCTTTATTAGGTAGTTATTTTTTTCAAAACACACTAATTTAAACCTAAATAATTAAAACACTGCAAATGAAACCTCTGTTGCTTTCCGCTATCTTTTATTGAATATCATAGATAGTCAATGTATATAAGTGCTATATTTAATGGTGTGTGTGTGTGTGTGTGTGTGCACGCGCGTGCCGTCAAGTCAGTTTTTGTCTCCTGGTCACTGCACGGTCTAATTCATAAGTGGATTCTCCATGCCCTTACTATAGCTAAAAGACTGATGTTGCAACATTGGAAAAGATAAGATCCCATTTACTCAATGATTGAAGATCTGATTAGACTTACTACTTGTTAGCTGATTGCCTATAGATATAGACCTTATATCAATAAGTATAATGAAATACTCCTTAACTTACAACCACAATTGGGGCAGGAATTTCCATCAAAAGTTGTTGTGGTAGTAAATTGAACTGGGTACAAGGTTAGACAAGATTTATGGCAGTCATTAAATGAATCAATGCTGTTGTTAAATGAATCACACAGTTAAGTAAGTCCAGCTTCCCTAATGTGGGGGGTGCCATTTTTTGCCGGAAATTGGCAAAAAGCTCTTAAACCATGATCACATGACTGCAGGATGCTGCAAGGCATCATAAATTCAATCGAGTTGTTAAACTCCCAAATTGCAATCATGTGACTGCGAGGATACCACAGTCGTAAGTGTGAGTACAGGTAATGAGTCACTTTTTCCAAGGCCATTTAATTTAATAAGCATGATTATAAAATACATACATACAAACAGTTGCAAAATGTTTGTGTTACATAATTATATATAAAATTGTAACCATTCACTTTTGCAATAAAATATATACAGTATATTTAAATGTATTAATTTTTTCTCTTGTATTTTTCATTGATTCTTTTTCCATCACATTATGGTTTTTTCAATAATGCATCTTTGTTTTTTATTCCTGTGTTCTTTTCTTTTCCTGTTACTATATTAAAAGCAATAAAAAAATTATGAAAAAACAGTCAATAAACATGTATGTGGTACAGTTTAATTTCACCACAATAAATGCCTTCCTGGGAGAAGAAGAGAAATCATATGATTCAGATCAATTCTTCTACTTACAGCTGCTTCTAAAGCTTGCAGCTGGCTTGTTTTTTTATCAGCATTCATTCTCATATGCTCAGGAATTTTGTAGTTAGTGGCAGTTTTTAATTTGAAGTCCCCCATGTTCTCTTGAGCTTCTTTGATATTTGCTACATCTTGAGGATCCTCATAGTTATCACTTGGTTTGCTCTTGAATCTGCCAAGTTACAATCAAAAAGAGGGCTGTGAAAATATCTACAGACCTCTCACATCCTGGACATAAACTGTTTCAACTTCTTGCCTCAAGACGACACTATAGGGCATTGCATGCCAAGACAACCAGACACAATGACAATTTTTTCTCCCATGCTATCGCTCTGCTAAACAACTAATTTCCACAATGCTGTCTATAACCTAGGATGTCAAACCACCTAGTAGGACTGTATTACTTATTATCCTCTCATCTGTCCTATTTCCTTAGATTCTTATGACTATAACATTTTGTTGTATCTCATGATTTATGTTGATTACTCCTATAAATATCCTATCATGATTTATGTTGATTGTTTAGAATCCTGTGACTGTGAGTGTTGTATCTATAATTTATGATTTTATGATTACGATTATCACTTGTTGCTTGTATGTACACTGAGAGCTTATGCACCGGAGACAAATTCCTTGGCGTATCACACTTGGCCAATAAAGAATTCTAATTTTAATTCTGTTTTTTAATTTTTCAATCATCCAAAAAACAAAATTATTATAATTATTCAGTTCCTCCTTTGGTCTCTATGAAAACATATTGATGCTCAGAGGAGAAAATAGTTGAAGGTATTCAAGTATTTGTATAATCTACTGCCATGATTATGGTAGAAATCTTCTGTCAACACCATGGAAATGACAGAGATATTCCAATGAAGCCTGTATGGCTAAATCTTTCAGTTTGTCAAATTCTGTTTTATTGGGACTGACTGTTCTCACCAAAATCTATTATCATCCAAAATATAGTCTGATGTGATATACCACATAGGGTGATTAGCTGCAGTATCTAGCCCAAATTAGGTCTTTAACCAAAGATTTCTCTATGATTTCCCATGCTCATTTTTTATTTATGTTAACCTAAAATGTTGGCCATTCTTCATTTGAGTGACAGAAATAACCATAAAGAAATAACCATAAAGAACTTTTCAAACTTGGTTAAAGACTTTGATTATTTCTTATTTAAGTGAGTTTTCAGTGGTGGTTTTAACCTGGTTATACACTTCTCCATTTACTTATAATTTATTGTATCTTATGCTGTTGTTTTTTATAATGAGCCACCAAGGGTAACATATACAAATCTAATAAATAAAAAATAATCTAAATACTGGAGATTCGCTATATTTAGAGCTCTGTGTTGAAACAGAATGCTTTCAATATTTTTAGCGCTCCAGAACATATCACTTCAGATCAAATTGCCAGGTTGGGAATTGTATTTCGATATTATTATATACAATAAATAATTCAGAAACTATTCCTACTTTAAGAAACATGTTTTTAATCATGCCCCAAAGAAAAGATTATGCTTGACTCACAATTCATTCCACTCCATCTTTCTTTTTTGGATTTTAGCTTTGGCTCTGTCTGCTTTTTCAATAATTTTCCTAAGTTTTTCCATTCGATTTTCAACAATACGGCTTGCTGCTGTATGAGGTTGGGATTTTTTCCTTACTTTATCAGTTTCTGGTTCTTCATCAATGGTAGCTGCGGCTGTAAGTATTGTTCCTGTACATTTAAAAAAAATATAAGATGCTTTAGTAGGTATCCTCCAAATAAGATACCATTTTAGCATTATTTTAAACGTTAAGGGGTTTTTCTTTGAATTCATCTTAAAAATAAATCAATGAAAAGCCTACTGATTCTACAAAACTAAAACCATATTATAACAAGGTTTCCATTACTGCTTTCCCTATTTCAGAGATAGTACTATCTGGGTCTTGTTTTTTTTTTAGAACAGAGCTCTGGAGAATTTGTGGATTTTTATAATACATACTAGACAACCCACGCCTGTGGGTCATTGTTTCGGAGATATTTCCTTACCTAAATAGGATGACCATGGTTGGTTAAAAATAAGTGTGAGAGACGTCAGACTTCCCTGGAAGTTTTGAATTCTCACTGAGTTTCCTTGTGGAAAGCTATCAGGGAACAGCAGAAACCAACCAAGCATCCTTCCTTCCTTCCTACCCTCCCTCCCTCCCTCGGGGTGTTGCCCAAGAGGTGCTATGCAAATCAGGGAAGGCACACTGGGGGGATGCAGTGGGTCAGACACAGTGTGTGGGGGAGTGCAGAAGATACTGTATTGATCAGGGAAGACATCTAGGGTGCAGTGTGAATTGGACAAGTCATGTGAGGGTGGCACTGGTCAGGGAAGCATGTCGGGGTGGCATGAACTAGTTCTTCCTCCCTGTTCCTCCATTCCTCTTTCCTGTTCCTCCCCTCCTCCCTTTCTTCTTCCCTTCCATCTATCTATCCATCCAGTCTTCCCCCTTCCCTTTCCTTTCTAGCAGGCAGGTAAGTGACTGCAGCAGTGGGGGCGAGGAGGAGCTAGGGATTGCAAAACTGGCTGGGAAACTGTCACTAAACATTGAAAATCAAGATCACATTACTGCAGCAGCTGCCCAGCAGTGCAGCAGCAGCCAATAGCACTGAAGCAACTACAACTTTCCAACATGCCATTCCCTTCAGAGTCATGGATTTTGAATTTTGGACATATTCTGTAATTTAGTCCATTTGAAGTCCCTTGATTCAAAAATTGTTGCCCTATGATGCACTGTTTCTCCCAGTTAAAAATTATAATGAGAATTTTAATATATATGGATATAATTTAATGAAAGCTAACTGTGTATGCTTTCTTCCCAGGTAGCAGATCTATTACCCAAAAGCACTACTCTGGAGACATGCCCAAGACATCTCAAATCCTTTTAACTTTTGCATATCCCACGCCTAAAACCTCTACTCTTTTTATAAACATATGCCCTCTCCAGTTTAGACACTTAGTATAGATCTAAAAATATTACTTAGTCTTTAGTTCCCTTTAACATTTCCAAACAAGCCATTTCCTGGATAATGGAAGTTACACAAATGCTACAACAATAATTAACGATCTGTTTGCAATATACAAGTTCCACAATATTTAGACAAATTCAACCATAGGTGTGATTTGGCAAGAACTTCCTCCTGTGTTTATCCTAAATTCAGATATACAATTTTTAGCCAAAAAAATATTTCCAATTCATACTGTAAGCAAAGCAAATTTCTTTCCAACAGGGAGACCGAACAAAGCTTCAAAAATAAAAATTACCCCCACATTTCCATTTATTGCTTAAAAATACTATGCCTTTACATTATCAACACTATTTTCCCTCCCTAGCTCCATCTCTCTCTCTCAGCCTCTATCTACTTCCCTCAGTCTTTCTTTTTTATAGAGGGGATACGTGAAGTAATTTATTACTACCTATTCCATGATGGATTAAAGCACCTTAGGTGTCATTCAACTTATGCAGAGAAATACTGAAATAACATATAATGCAATAAACCCTTTAAAGGTTCAGAATAATAATAATAATAATAATAATAATAATAATAATAATAATAATAATGTATTAATAATCATGTCAATAGGAAAAAATGTAAATAGGAGCCACAACTTGTTATCTCAGTACATACTTGCAGGAAGTAACTCATATGAATCAAGATTTGAATAAATGCTAAATGTTGATATGTGTAATTAATACTGCTGCATGGAAAACTACATTCTAAACAATGTTAGAGAAAAGTTATAGGACAGAGCTAAAATACCATCTGACAAAACTGCTGATATGGAACCATGAAAAAGAATGTAAGATATCGCGTTCATTATGATTGAAATATTTCTGCCACACTTTTGTAAATCCTTACTAATATCTCTTTGGCTCTCTTTTCTTTGCTCTCCTTCTTTTCCTTTCCGTTCATATTTGCTTATTCTCTTTTTTCCTGGGTGAATCTGTTTTCTGGCTCTGTATAAACTCTCTGAGATTGCCAGTAGTCTGAATGTAGAGATTTGGTGATTACTTCTCATGGCACAGACCAAAATGGTGTCATACTCCAAATTGCCCCGGTATCTGTAGGATCACAGCAAAGATAGCAATCTTGTTTTATGCTCCTTACATCTTTAAGCAGTCTTAGTTGTATCAATTTAACAATAGACTAAGTAACAAAGACACATACCCAGAGGACTCAAAATCCAAAATTTCAAGTTGCAATATCCAAAAATCTCCAATTCCAGTATTGTTATGAAATTATTACAGTGTTGATATGACAAATTTTATAATTAAAATTTATAAATGAACAGTAATCACATTGACTATATTTAAATAAATTAATTAAATTTTTATTAGGATTTCATTCATTACTTATTTTATTTATATGGCTGCTCATCTAGCAACAGCAACTCTTGGCTGCTAATACATCTTAAGTATCAATACAAATTACAAATAACATAAAGTAAATAATAATAAATAATAAAACAAAATCATTTTACACTGTTTGGAGCCTCTCAAATCTGGAAAAAGATTTTATTTATTTATTTAAAGTTGTCATTGTTAAGGTTTATATCCCATCTTTTGAACAAAGCAGTATACATGCTCCCTTCTTTTTCTTTAGCAGAAAAATCTTAGGAAATAAAAACATCTCAAAAAAAGAAAATAAAATGGTCCTTACCGTTCCTGTACTTTTCGCAACCCAATGCGATGTTTTTCCTGTTCCCAAGCCAGTTCTCTCATTACTTGCCTAATAGTTTTTGCAGTCTTTCTGTCCATTTCTGCACGAATTCTCTTGTCCATTTCAAATTGCTATATATTATAAAAGATAAAATTATATTTGTCTGCCATATTCTAGTTTACCTTGGTGCAAAGCATGCACTGTTTTAATTGTCTTTGGATTTTGTAAGCTATCCTGATTTACCAGAGTGGACAAGAATAAGAAATTTAAGTAAATAACTACATCTGGAAACTTTTTTTTTTGGCTTTACTGTGCATACATATCCAGAATACAAAGTTTAGGCTAATTTATATATTGCACTATCAGAGAAGGAAATCCTCCATCCCAGGATATGGACTTCACATTTTGTGAAGATGGTTCTACCTTTCAAACTTACATTTGTATTTGGTATCACATTCATCCACTATATATCAATCTCCTTCTTCTTCAGCTGGGTCTATCAAGTATGTCATCCTTTTACATTTTTTAAAAATTTGGTAGATCTTAAGTTAAAAATTTGACTCTTTGCCATCTTAAACCCTTAAAAGTATTAATATATATTCATCAGGCCTTGCTTTAGAAATATCTTCCCCAATTTGGTACTTATATGGTTTTCTTGTCATCTAGCAAAAACAGACAATAGTAATGGAAGATGGGTGCTGTGATCCACCTGATTGAAAGACCCATACTAGGGAAGACTGCTTTGTAGTTCAAAAGCTCGCACCAATGGTTCATTAATACATAGTAAGTGAACAGCAGTCTTTCAATAATATTATTGTGTTCTTTGCATTTTCTGGAGTCTAGATCAGGGATGTCAAGCATGCAGTTCACAGGCCGGATTCAGCTTGCAATAGGTACAGAATCATCCCAAGGTCATCCCAGAGAGGGACCAGCCTGTGCCACCCTGGCCCATGCCATACACCCCGCCCATCCCAGCCCCCCAAGGGCAAACAAAATCCTGTTACGGCCCCGCAATGGGATCGAATTTGACACCCCTGTTCTATAGGTTCTATTATAGGGTTTAGGTTTATTTGGCAAAGATTCACTGGCTGCCATATTTCTTCTCTTGCTTTAATGAAACTATTCCTTTTAAGTTTTCTTTACAAGTCTCTTACCAAATGCTCACATTTCCAAGCTAGCCTAGTATCTCCCATTATTTTCCTATTGTTATCTTTCAAAATTTATAATGCACATTTTACTTGCTTCCCCTATGAGATCATGGGCATCGCAGGGGAAGCAAGTCACCGTCTTCATCCAAATGACTTGAATGATATCAGGCTCCTATGATAATGAACTGCACACTATCAATTGCATATTTATTTGTCCCAAAGAGCTATTCATTGGCCTGCTTTCTTTAAATGTTTAAGCATCCAATATTTGATAGATTATATGTCATATCATAAAGCAATCCGTATGCAGCTTTTACATCTGTCAAATTTTGACAAAACTGTATAGTGCAGTCATGAATAGAAAGTCTTTTCATGTAAGAAGATTCTGGATAGTGACCAACAAATTAAAATTAAAAACAGCAAAAACAAATCATGCTGGGACCACACATATACCAAATCAAACCCACAAATAAACAGTATCTTTTAACTTCCTGGCTTAGTGTCCTGGAAGAAAATCCACATTTTTAACACCTTTAGAAAGACCAGCAGGGTTTGGAGCCACCTGAATTTGACGAATTATGTTCCGCAAGAGAAGTATAGTAACAGAGCACATATACTTTCCTAGATCTCATCTGATAACATTATTTAATTAAAGGAACCCAGAGTATGCTTACCCTGCCAGATCCCATGAGATAAGCAGAAATAATTAGAAAAAAGCCTGCACTTTGCTGTGAAGGGCTTTGTATGTGATATCCAGCATTCTACTGGAAATCAATGAAATTATCCCATTAATAATGTTATATAGTGCATTAAGGTATCCATGCCACAACATTCTGGGTTAGCTGCATTTTCTGAGTGTTTTTAAGGGCTACCTCATGTTGAACTCATTGTAATAATCCAAATGGGAACTAACCAATAAGCAGGACTTCTGATCTAGAAATGGATCCAACTGGTCTGCAATAAAAATTTGTGCAAAGGTCCTTGTCACTACAGTTGCCTTTGAGCAAGGACTAAAACTAAAATACCCAAGTTGTATACTGGTTATATCTGGCATGGAACAAAACTGAACACCTTTGTCCAACAATGTTAAGGTTGGTTGTTTTATGTATGCTAAACAACAATTTAAGCAGTTAGAATATACAATAGAACCCAACAATAAAAAATAAACACGAATTCATTGTAAAACTCAAGGTATTTAATTAACTTCTATTCCCCACGAGGAAAAGATATCAACATACATACTTCTCTAAGGAGCTGCATGTGTTTGGGTAATTCACTATTGATCCGGAGCAATTCCTGAAACTCCTGTCTCAATAAAATCAGTTCTTGTCTCTTCAAAAGTTTCTTATATTCTGCAGCTCTCATTATCTGATCATATTCTTTTTTTTGCTTGGCATTCTCAATACTAGAAATGTGAGAAAAACATAAATAGGAGACAAAACAATTAATCTTTCCAGGAATCAATATACAGTGAAATTATGAAGCTCGACTAAAGAAAAGCAACATGTTTCATTAGGTGAAAGGGAATCTATAATTATGCTGAGTGAAATCTTTTGGACAGAGACTTATTTATTTAATATACTGTAGAAACAATTTTTATATAGTATTAATTAGGCTGGGCATTAACACATGAACTTAAGTTAATATAATTAAATGTTTGCAATGGTGGCAAATATCTGTAGTTTGGGTATAGGATGAGGGTGGAGGTGGGACAATGTGAGATTACGTGGAACAAGCATCATGGCAAATGAAAACCAAAATCCATAAACACCAGCTGGCAGTCAATTGCTATGATCCCAAATCCCTAATCTCTATTCACACTCACACCAAACAGCACCAATTTGATTAGCAGTACAACAATCATTGGCCACGTTACCACCCATCACTCACATGAGTTTATCAAAGCCTAGCACTCCACATGCAATTTCATCAATAGACAAACTGACCTACAACCAGCCTACAAACCCTTCAGAATTCAAATCAATTGTACAGCCAACCAGCGATGGCAACAACCCTCAGCCAATCCATGCAACCCCCCCCCACCAGCACTTTGTCTCCAAATGGCGCTCAACAAATGGCCATCACAAGACCCATTACAAAACCCTTATATGATGTGACTTCCCCATCACAAGACCTACTGATCACACAAAGCCCTTATAAGCAGAAGAACACTGAAATTGACGTCTGCTAAATTCTGCTGAAGTTATTATTTAGCCTGGTAATGAAACATTTGGAAACCAGCCCACAAGCTCGGAGAATGAACCTCCATCCTCATAATTAAATGTGACTGTAAATCACTGAGCCCAAAGAATGGATGGCAAGCGGCTCCAAGTAGCATTCTGAATCTTCCTGCTCTGGGCTTTCCTTCTAGGGCAGGAGAACCTTGTCCTTTTTATGACTTGCTGGCTCACAACATCTAGGAGTTGAAGTCCACAAGTCATAAAATACCCAAGGTTCTCCACCCCATTCTAGGGCCAGTGGCTTCGTAGTCTCCTGGGATGCATCTTACTTGGCATATGCCCACAAACCTTGGCATTTGAGAGTAATAATAGCCTGTACTGTATTTCTGGTAATTAAATGGTCAAAATATAAAAGTAGAAGTTTTATGTTAGTTCCTGGACATATTGTGTATAGATATGTGGCCAAAAAAATAAGCATTTTCCTTTCCATCCTTGGAGATAGAGCCACAAGTTTTTAAGAAGGTAAAATCTTTTTTAAATTCTCACATTTTAATATTAAAATGCAAATGTTCAAAATTATAGATACGGAGTTACTAAGATCACTAGATGGTATTTTCAGGCAAAATTGCAAAGCAAAATGTAATGCTTCAGGAAAACAGAAACTTCAGGTAATAGCTGCAAATACCATTAAAGTGACTTTATTAAAATCAGATTCATTTTGGAAATTGTTTCTCAAGGGATTGATTAAAAATAAAAATAATCATAAAAGAAAGCTAAGTCTCCAAAAATAAAACTTAATGTCTCACTTTTAACAAACTTACCTATACGCATAAATATCCTCAATATCATCTGCTGCTTTCTCTTTGTCAAGTCCACTCTGCAGAAAAAAAAAATCACTGCTCTTTCTGTAGATGGCAAGGATTCAACTAAAGCTCAGATGGAATTCCAGATAAGTTCTCTGAATATTTTATGAATCACAGCATTTTCTTCTTCTAATAATCTTCTCTTCAAAGCAAGAAAATATAGATAGCTAGACCTTGACCTACGACTGATTGCTTAATGATTGTTCGTAGTTATGATGGACTTAAAAAAAAGTTGCTTATGAACTATCTTTGAAGTTACAATTGCCAATCCACTCCTGCACTCACATGATTGCCTTCCAGGAAATTGGCAACTGGCTCACTTCACAACTAGTTGTAGCATTCCATTGTGATATGACTGCAATTTGAAGGTTTTGTTGTTTTCCAGCAGAAAACAGCAAAAAGCCCCCTTTGGATATGCTGGATTCTTTTAATAACCACAGGATTCATTTCATAACTGTGGAGGCCGTAAAAATGATTATAAAATCAAGTTTGGTCACATGGTGCTTTGACTTATGATTTACAACTGAAATTCCAGACTCTACTATAGTGGTAAATTAAGGACAACCTGTGTGTACGTCTATAGATATATTTATTTGAGTGTCTGCCTCTCTTCCCTCCATCCCCACCCTCTCTATCTATCTAGGATATGGATAAAACTTTGACTATATCCCAATCAACAAGTACTTCAATGATAGGGGAAAACGTACAGAGGAATGCATTCCTGATTATCACTTACTCTTGGAGAGGGCACTTTAGTCTTCAGGACTTTCTTAACTTCCTCAGCAGAAAGAATGTCATATGCAAAGATGTTGCCATCTGCTCCACAAGTTACTAGAAATCGATCATCAAAACTTGAGTATATCCCTTGAATTTGCCCATAGTCATTATCATGCAAACTAAATGACCAATATCCAGCTATGTTGTCTGCACAGAGTTCTTTGCTGTGGAGAGGATAAATCCTCACAGTTCCATTCTGCATTCCACAAAACATTAGTAAACCTGTGGAGCTGAAAAAGTAATTAACACATGAACACAGTGGTTTTCTTTCATATACTCTGCTGATATCTAAATTTGTTTATGCTGTGGATAAAACAGAAGGCATATGACAGCCCCACTAGGGAGCCCAGACCAGAAAAAAAACACAGGAGTTCTAAAACTACTTAATTTAGACTGAGTATAATAACAGAATCTTGCATGTCTAACTGAGCCATGCTTCCTAACTCCCCACCCCCCCCACCCCAATGCAACCTTGTGATACTTAGTGAATCAGAAAGAGGTCCAGCTAAGCCACCTCCAAATGTTTCTCAGGGCTTAAAAAATATTTAATCCCTCTTTGCCTAGGAAACAATTCTCACATATTTCCATCAAGATATTCTTCCTGCAGTGGATGAGACAAGAAATATCCTATGATGATAAAATTGGCAGAGACTTCATTGGAGCTCTCGATAAGAGACAGAAATTATAACAATATTATTTCTCTGCGAAGCAGCAGGTTGCCATATTCTCCTCCTTGCACATTTGGGGATGTCGCTTGAATAATTTATGAGCAGGTAGGAAGTTTCTGCATCTTCAAAACTCTCAAATTCCATTTACAATTTGATATCAAATATACAAAGTGCCTATTATATTCACTACTTTTGTCTCTCCTGGTACCAAGAGTGGGCCAAAAAGAGACCTTGCAAGTAGTCCACTGCTTACAAAAAACAATACGGTTTCTACTGTCTCATTACTGCTTTCCTTTGAGGACTTATTCACTTTACCATTCTTAATTCTATGTGCATACAAAAAGACATCATCAGTTTTCATATTTTTCATATACGGTTTTAATAGATAAAATGAATTTGAATAATATATGACCAAGAGGCTTAGATTTGGATACAGTATGAAAAGGAGAAAAGTATATTTTACCCTTCTATATGCTTGGTCAAAGAAGCAGAACTGGGAAAGTAATTTATGATTTCAAAATAACTATCTTTTGCTCAGGTTAAATAAATTTGAGAGCAAGGAAAAAGAATACAACCCAATCAAACACAGTATCAAAAACTTCCATAACATCCACACCAAAATCAAATGGTTTTGTTTTTATTGGTATCATAATGTATTTTCCCTTGTACTTTAGTGTATTTTTAAATTATTCAGCAGTACATTTTAATGAATCTAGACATGCTTAAAATAAACAAAAAAAAAAAATGTAAACATCGGCCATAAAATTCTTTCTCATTTTACAGGCTGAAAAAGCTTCATTACCAAAACGCGATGCGATGAATGGGATTGTCATCTGCATCTTCAATAGGGATAACCTCAAAGGGTTCATCCTGCCGAGTCTCAGGATCTTTTTGCTGCTCAGAGGAAAATGCACAGTGATACAGAAATCCTGTGTCATATTCTCCCTGGGAAAAAAAGGGCAATGTTGTAAAAAGTTATTGGAACATTTTGTGAAAATATTATAATGGTTTCATATTCACACATTCATTCTGCAGCTAGTTGTGAATAAGCCTACTACAGTTGAGTCCACTCCTCTGCTTTTTCACAAAAGGGTTCCATTAAAGGCAATATTTCATGCCATCTAATACACAAATACTCTTCCTTTCTTTTTCTTTTTTGTTTTCTAAAAAAACTTCGCAGCTCTGTTAAAACAAAAAGCAAGCTAACTCAGTAGCATGGAAAGATATGGACAACTCTTACATACCTGAAACATACATTCAACTTAATGGTTTTTCCTTTCTTTCTATTTAAATATTAATCCTGTATTGGGGATTGTGTAGAACAGTACAATGTCAAATCAGCAATGGGAATGGTGCCACTAAGAAAACTCAGGATGATTTAATCCTTTCCCTACTTTAAAAACTGCTAACAAATCTGGAATGCAATGAAATTAAATGAGTTTCCCAAAGCTACTTACGGAGTTCTATAAAGCAGAGGGAAAAACTCATTTTTTCTCCACCTAGGAATTTGTATTTTGTTTAAGAGTAGAGACAAATTAGGCAACGGCTACTTTTTATAGTTTGATAAATGCACAGCAGGGCATCTATCTCAAAGCACTGTTTCTTCATCCCTGCAATTCTAAGCATAGTTCCAAACACAGCCTGAAACAATCATCGCACCTTATTTATTTATTTTAGTATATGGTGTTGTTCCACTAGCCAGGAGATTATAATGTTGAGATAGAGTAGTAATTTGGCTTCCTAAGATTGATAGCCCATTGGGTTCATGTTTGTGCACTTTCCAAGGTACACCACAGCAGGTGAGCTAACCCTCACCAGATCATAGCACGAATGTAAATGTCTCATCCCACATACCTAGACAAAGTTGCTGATTTCAGCATCAAGCCACCTATTCATCAAAACTTTCACCCTTTCCCAATTTACATCTAAGCCTGTTGAAGAGATCCGAGGAATTTAAGACCTTATGTGCTATTTGAGGACATTTGGGTTTACTTAAGAAAAATACTTGAATTCCAAGATTTTACATTATTTAATTTATAAGGTATGCCCTTCCTTAGAAGGAGAAATAAAAATACATTTAATAACTATAATTTAAATTTAAGGATTTAAATAAATAACAGTTACCATCGATAACCAGAATCTCCCTGGATCAGAGTAAAACCCACAAAGGATGGGACTTGGAGTTTCTGGGATGTAGATTTCTGGAAGTGGTGCCTCTTCAACAGGCACTTCTTCGGGCATTTCTATTTCTTCTAGTGTTTTCCCCTGGTCCAGCTGCTCTTTGATCCATTGCTGCTTTTCTTTCTCCTTTTGCTCTTTAATTTTTTCTCTACGTTTAATTTCCTCTTCTCTCTTTATAGAACCAATGAAAGTCAGTGTAAGATTAGGCTCTTTAAGGAATGAAAAACAAAATACTTAATATGGTTCCACATATTAAGACATAACAAGACCCAACAGTGAACTTCCCTAACAGAAGATGCTGCTCAAACCTTTTTGTTTATTTCATTAAAAAAATATAAAGCAGTTTTCCTCTGAATAATCCTATTTTCATGTAAAATACAATATTGGATCTTAAATTACATGTATGACAGAAAACAAGTATTTAGAATGATTAACTCCTAGTCCTACTGTTAAAATTTCTAAAAATAAGTTCATAATCTATTAGACAAAATTGAAAGCGTTATGTCTTGATACTACATTTTTACTATATAAATCACCTCCAGAATGTTTAATTAGCCTGTCTTGATATATATATATGGGGTAGGACAGGATGTTCTAGAAGTAAGGCTACATAGATGCTGCCCTAGAGTATGCCAAAACTTATGGGGTGCCAATGTTATCCCTTGGTATAAAATGCAAATCTTGCATTGGTGGGATATAACATACTCCTGGGGCACTATTATACCCTTGAGCTGTTACTGTCTGTTTGGAAGGCAAACAGAATGTTTCCCAAGCAGATTATTCTATCATGGAAGATTTTCCAATGTGTTAGTACAATATTTTACCAATATCCGAGATTTGATGCTCCGGAAACGAAAATATTCTGCAGGTAGATCTTTGATCCTATAGGTAGTTACTGCATCGTAGGCCATAGGGTCTGGGGCAGGAACCTGAACAACAATGCCATTCTGACAGAGGATAAGGAGCTTGCTGTCTGGCTGTAGATCAGAATATGAAACAAAACTAGCATGTATAGGTATATACATATACATAAACATATACATATATGCATACATGCATACATACATATATATGTCGATTTTGAAAAATAGGAGAAAAATAGGCTTTATTATAACAAAGGAAACATGCCATTATGTTATTGCTTTTGTCCTGCATAACTACAGGTTCCACTTGTTTCTATATTGTGTTTATCTAGTTTTTGGAGCAAAGCTACAAATGCATAATGTAACAGTAGTTTGCTTTTTAGTAGGCTTGCTGCAAAGCCTGATGCTGATTTGGGCTGAAAGAACTGAGATTTCCCAACTCCTAGTCCAACATCTTGACTACAGCCTGCTGCTTCTCAAAACCTATTTTTGTGGAAAATTTTTATACGCTGATGGACATGAATGAATGAATGAATTCTTTTTTCGCCAAGTGTGATTAAACACACAAGGAATTTGTCTTGGTGCATATACTCTCAGTGTACATAAAAAGAAAAGATATATTCGTCAAAATCATAAACTTAATGATGATTATAGGGTACATAGGGAATCATATGCAGTACTTTGGATATATGATTCCAGAAAAATTATTAGAACATATAAAGATACTTCAAATTCATGTTTTCCTATTTCTTGGGTCTGGAATAACAACTTTTAATTACGTCTGTTTCTGTATCTTCAGAGGTGCAGTTTCCAGAAGTAGTCTTTTTTAGTATTACTATGATAGTGAAACTTAAAAGCAAAACAAATCTCTTCCAGCTAAGTAAATGGGAAAAAGTCAGATGAAATACAAAAATGCATGGAAATAAATGCATAATGGTCCAAAAATTATAATCTTTACTATCATTAAAATGTTCATCAAGTCACTTAGAATATATTTAGATCAATATTTAAATATATATTTATTAACTTATATTTGTTAACTCTTAACTCTTACAACACTAGATCATTGTACATAGCAAAATTAACAAACATGGGGTTCATATACAACAAAAGCAAATTACCTACTCACATGAGAATGGGGTGACCACTGCAATGCTTCTACTGGTCCCGGAACACTAATGAATCCAATAGGATCATATTTATCTTCAACAGTAAAGAAGAAAACAGTTTTATCTTTGCTCTGAAATAGAAAAACTTGATTGTTAGTAAAATCATGCACTGCATATTTTATGTATGTCAAAGACCAATCATTAGTCAATTTTCTTTGCAACAGAGGGTCATCAGAAAACTACAAAATAATGATATATGAACTCATTGCTTCCCTGAAATTCATTTCAGACCAAACTTTTTAATCACCTGAAGTCCAGTACAAAATCAACATAGATGAGGTCTAAGGCTACAGATCCTACTTTAGAACTTGATCATAAAGCAAAAATACCAAGTCCTGCTTCTCCCTGCATGTTTTCTCATGTGACTTATTAACAAGTATTCAGAGAAAAGTCAATACATACCCCTGTGGCTAGCACTTCCCCATTACGTTCGTAGGCCAAAGCTGTAACTGCAGACACATGAGGTTTAAAAGCCTGTTTCAGACGCAAGACCGCATCTCCTACATTTTCCCGTCCAGCAATGACAGGCAATCCTTTGGGATTATAAAGTTCAATTATGCGAACAATGCCATCCTGAAAACCTACAGCAATTATACCTCCTTTGGGATTCACCTTAGACAAGACAAAAAAAAGTTTGCATTAATATAAGGTACTTTGAAAGAAAACATCTCCTAAATCTGTGAAATTTATGATACATAAAGTAGTATGTATGAATAAAGAACAATTTCACATAATTGTGATTGACGTTTTATTTCTAAAAGGCAGTATTATATTGAAATATAATGTGGAATACAAGCTGTATACTGCAGAAATACAAATCAAACTATTCAAACCACTCAAATGGCTGTCTAACCTCTATATGAAATACATTGAGTGGAGATCCACTCCTATGGATAATTGGTTCTATTATCAAATTGCTCTTACTATCAATTTTTTCCTATTGTACTCTCATTTCAACTATTTAAGTTTGTTTAAACTTTTTCCATGTTTCCCTGTTTTCCTTCGACTTTTTTTCTTTAAACACTTGAGTACTATTTGTTGCAAAGATATGAAGGTTCTACTCAGGTTGTTATACAAACATACAACAGCACTGCATGTCACAACCGTGATGCTCAAACACTACCCTGTTTTCTTTTCAAAAATATATTCTCTTTCAAGTCTTTGTATATGGGTAGTCCTGCACTTCTGATTATAATTGGGCCTGTAATCTTGGTTGTTGAGTGAAGTAGTCATTCAGCAAGCTGCCAAGTGACCACTTTGCTCAATGACTGCAATCCCATCTCTCCCAGTTATGGTTGTAAAGTAACTGTGCAGATAGCAGGGTGGCAGAGAGAGGGCCCAGGCCTTTGGGATGGTGGGGTGAGGAAAGGACTTGCACTCCAACCACAGATAGTAAGCCAGGCCCTCTTCTCCCAACATGTAGAGGAACAGATTTCAATTGTGGCAAAAACACTAACAACATTGTTCTGGAACACAGGTGTCAAACTCGTGGCATCATATTGCCATCATGTGATGTTTCACGACGTTTTTCCAATTCGAGGAGCTGGCATGGGCATGGCCTATGTATGACACATTTGGCCTGTGGGCCACCAGTTTGAAACCCGTGTTCTAGAAAGCTCATAATCCTGGCATTTACTAGTGTTTTCCCCTATGGAGAAATGGAAATGATGGTGTTTGCCAGAACACTAGCATTTGGAAAGACCCAGAATGCTGTAATTCAGTAGCATTTTCTCTTCTGGAGGGGTGGAAACATGACATTCACTAAAACACTAGAAAATGCTAGCATTCTGAAAGACTCAGAATATTAGCAAAAGTCAGTCTTATGGAAGGCTTAGAATGCTGGGATTCACCAGTATCTTCCCCTCTGTAGAAGTGGATACATGGCTAACGAAGGCTAACAAATAGCAGCATTCTGAAAGGTACATAAGGATGGGATTCACCAATATTTTTGTCAGATTTGAGGTCCATTCCTCCACCATGAGGGAGGATTTCCAACTTTCTTTACAGCAGTTACAAGGAAATTTATCATCTATCCTTTTTTTAAGATTATATCATTTCCGTTCTTCTAACAGTTTTCCTTTTTTAATCATGAAATCCATAAATTATTTTTTTTCTCATTTTGGGGGAAAACTCCATAAAGTTTTTCCTAATAAACGTACTTACTCACACATCTTCTGAATGCCTATACATTTCTCCAAAATCAAGGTACCAATAGTTCCTAGATCCAGATAATGAGAGCATGATTTGGAGAAAAAAACCAGCAGTCACTCCCTAATTTTATTCATCTTCATTGTTATAAACAATTGATATTTGACAATTTATACCAGCCAGATTTAATCCATTTATTCTTTTTTCCTGTATATACTTACCAATGTTGGAGCCCAGGTAAGTGCTGTTCCTCCCTGTTTAAATTTCATATCAACCAATTGCACTTTGCCAATGTAATCGTAAATACGCACTGAACCTGTGTTAGATAGTTGACAGATCAAAAATAAGAGAAAGGAAAGTTCACACTGAAATCTGAACTACTTATTTTATATACATACACACACACACACACACACACACACACACAATGTATATGCTGTTCTCGGTTACCAAAATAATTCTAGTTGATTTATATTAGGAGTAAAACAATAATAGAATGATAAAATACAATAGTAATTAGTATTATTAAAATAGTATTACATAGTAATACTAAGTGCAGTACTTATACATGAGAACCAGTTTGGTGTAGTAATTAAGACATCAGACTAGAAACAGGGGTTGTGATTTCCAATCGTACCTTAGGGACAAAGCTAACTGAGTGATCTTGGCCAACGTCTATCTTTGGCTCTAGAAAAGAGGCAATTGCAAAACACTCTTGCTAACAAAACTGTAAGGACTTGTCCAAGCAGTCTCCAACAATCAGACATGATGGAATGGGGGGGGGGGAGTGACCATACATTAACTTTATCTCCTGTTTTTTCTCATCAACATTCTTGTAAGACCCTAATTGCACACTTTTAAAACTGTTCAGAACAATTTCAAGAGATAGTTTGACTTAGAAAGTCAAGACAGTTTAATCAGAGGTCATTCCAAAAAACCTGAATAAATTTGAATTTTTCTATTTCCTTCCAGAAGATATAATTTATTTATTATTTATTTATTTAATTTATATTGCCGCCTATTCACTCAGGGTGACTTGAGGCAGCTTACCAATGTAAAACCATATTTAAAACAAAAAATAAAAATAAAACAATAAAAACTAACCAAAAGAATTAAATAAATAATTGCTATTTTCTTGCTACTAGAGACTCTCTCTCTCTCTCTCTCTCTCTCTCTCTCTGTGTGTGTGTGTGTGTGTGTGTAGGTTATTGCCATTCACACAAAGATTCTTGCCATTCACAGATAGGAATCTTTGGTTCAAATCCACTCAGAGAATTGTCTGAGCTACAAAAATCTATGTCATAGGAATTGTAAAACTCAAAGACTGTTCAACTTGTTGCATTTGTTGCATAATGAAAATAGCCAACACTTTAGAAGGTAGATTCAAGATATGGGAGGATCGTGACAGTCTTGAACACTGGGCCTTATTCAACAAAATGCAATTCAGTGGTGAGAAAAGTAAGGTTAAACTGAGGCAAGAAAAAACAAATGCACAGATATAGATGATATCTGGCTCAATAGTAATGACTGTGAGAGGGATCCAGGTATCCTATTGGACAACCACTGAAGTATGAGCATCAGTGTGCTGCAGCACCCCAAAAATCTATGCAGTACTAGGCTGAATCAACAGGGATAGTATCAAGATCACATGGAGTGTATACACCACTGTATACAGTCTTGGTAAGACCAGAATTAGAATACTGTGTCCAGTTCTTATCATCATAATATTAAGAATATGTTGATTCCAGAAAAGAGCAACAAAGATGATAAGAGTCTGGAGGCTAAACTGATGAACAGTTGTGGGAACTAGCTATGTCTAGTCTCACAAAGAGAAGGACTAGGAGTGACATAATACCAATCTTCCTATATTTGAGGGACTGTTACAGAGAAGAGGCGAACAATTTATTTTTCAAGGCACCTCAAGGCAGGACAATGAGTAACAGGTGGAAGATTGCTAAAGAGAAATCCAACCTAGAATTAAGGAGAAATTTCCTAACAGTGATAGCAATTAATTAGTGCAAAAACTTGCCTCCAGAAGTAGTGGATGCTTCATCACAGGAGATTTTCAAGAAGAGATTCGACAACCATTTGTCCAAAATGGTATAGGTAGGATTCTGTTCGGGCAGGGGGGCTGTATTAGAAGACCCCAAGGTCCCTTCCAACCCTATTATTCTATGTTCTAAAAGCAAAATTAGAAGGAGGAAAGTATACTTACGGTCAAGAGCAGTAGTTGCCATGATATATGTAACCGGAGATACACTTATGGCTTCTATCTTTCCTGAATGAAAAGTAAACAAGCATTCTGGATCACGTGTCTATAATAGAAACAATTATAAAGGCCTTTAAAGGGCTATTGATTCACAATGAATGTATTTATGATGACTATGATCATGATTTATCACTTATCTCTTTATCTACACTGAGAGCTTATGCACCAAAGACAAATTCCTTGTTGGCCAATAAAGAATTCTATTCTATTCTATTCTATTCTATTCTATTCTATTCTATTCTATTCTATTGATAAAATGATTTAACAAGGTACTTGTATTCTCTTACAATTGTTTTGGTCATCTGTTATTCTAAACTTAACTCTTATTGTAGTATAAAAGTGTCCGTTTCTTTACTGTCTGGATGTAATTCTCCTAAAAGTTTCATTACATATAAACACTGTAAGAATTAGGATGAGCTTTTCTCAAGAATTATTGTATTTCCCATATCCTGAATCTATCATAATGTAGAATCTTAATTTGTTTTCATGTAGTTGATAAAATGCTGAGCCAGAAACCAAGCAAACCTAAATTCTAGTCCTCCTTTAAGCATGGAAGCCAGTTGGGTGACTTTGGGTGAGTCATTTCTCTCAGCCCAACTCACCTATTAGAGCTGTTGTATAGAAAATAGGATATTGCATGCATTGTGCACATGTGGGCATGCATATATTTGAAGTTATACAGTCTTTAAAAACTTATACTATTTATCTTGGGCTGGTCACTCTTCCTCAGCTCAACCTACCTCACAGGGTTGTTTTTTTGAGGAAGGTGTATTAGATATGTTCACTGCCTACAGTTATTTATAAAAATAACACAGGATATAAATAAAACAAACAAATAAAAATAAACACATTACTCATTTTATCATAACTCAAACTGTAGGCTTGATTAATTTCTTCATATACCCAGAAACATGTTCTATTAAATAGGTTTACATATTTAAAAATGTCTTTCTGTCATTTAATATCTCATAAATTATTACTGTTATTAAATTCCACACTGCATATAATTATTGCAATTGGAGTTTTGGCAGGATTGATATTTCTTCTAAACTTTTAAAGAAAAATATCCATCAAGTGTAAAATATCACATTTGTTATTTTTTACATTTTACCTTTCTATCCACAGGACCCTAAGAATTTATATTTTATTTATATTTTATAAAAATTTGTATTTTATTGATGTTATAATATAGTTACTTTACAAAGAAGTCTGATTTTCTTTTATTTTTGTCCTTTTGTCCGGGTAATGGCTTGAAAGGGCATAGCTTTAAATTTGCTATCTAACTTCTATTACATTTTTCCATTTTCCATTTTTATACTATAAATATAAAATACTAATCATCTTGCTTAAAGTTACTAGCAGTTTTAAATATGCTTTAAAATAACACTAGTTGCTAGTGATACTGTAAAAGTAATTTTATTTATTCATCACATATATCACATAATGGAAGGATACAGCAGAGAAAAGTAATATGAAGTAAAACTTACAACATTCGAGAAACTTAAATCAAGCTTCCATATAGCTCCATTGAAATCCTAAAGAAGCATAATTATAATAATACTTGGTTATTATTCCATTTTGCCTGTCTTAAAAGCATTGCTCTGATTTTGAAAAAAATAACGGTGTTAGTTATTTGTATATATTAACTATATTATGTATGTTAAATGTTGTCCAAGACAATTTCTCTTCACTCAGTGAGGCCTAGGTAAGTCAGACACCCATAATTTAAAAGTTTAAGTTATAAAATTGAGGGTAATACAATGTCTTATACAATTTCACCTCTTCATTTCAATTAAGTACTTCTTTATTAAAAGGAATATAAAGATATAGAATACAGAACCACCTAACATTTCTCATACTGATGCCATGGTAGAACTGTAAATTTTAATACCAAATGAATTATTGGTTTTAACATGCATTTGATCTGACAGTGCAAGTCAGTGGAGTTTATAGAGCCTGATTTATGGTTATGTGAACAAAGCCAATGGGAGTAAAAATCTAGTGATATTTCAATTGATAGTAAAAAAAAATCCTTTCCTTTGGCAGTATTAAACTGTCTATTCACTAATTATTTAGAAAACTTCTTACCTGAGCATACCAAAATGGTTCTCCGCGTTCATGAATTTTCATCATAAAATTCAGGCTCACATTTTTACCAACTAAAAGTTCATTTATGTGTTCCATCTCTACAAGTCCAGTATCATCCACAACATCAGCTGTGTCTATTGTTTCAAAATCCCAAACCTTAACAAAAGATTTTGAGAAAAATGAAGTTGTTATTGTTTTAAAATGCTAAAGCATCATGACAGAACAATTTCAGAAAAGTGGTAATTCAAAAGGACTTCTTTTGTAGGAAAAGCTGTGCAGAAATAAAATAAGCAAGCAATCAGACAAAAAAATAGATGTTATTCATATGTCCCAATTAACAATGGTTGAGGCCACCAGAAGAGCAAGAGCCAGAACTTTGTATTTCCCTCAATACCAGAAGCAGTAAAAGAGAAGGAGTCGGATGCAGAGGTGGCAGTGGGAGGAGGAGGAGGAAGAAGAAGAGGAAAAGGGAAAGACGAAGACGAAGAAGAAGGGAGGGAAGAAGGAGGAGGAGGAGGAGGAGGAGGAGGAGGAGGAGGAGGAGGAGGAGGAGGAGGAGAAGAAGAAGAAGAAGAAGAAGAAGAAGAAGAAGAAGAAGAAGAAGAAGAAGAAGAAGAAGAAGAAGAAGAAGAAGAAGAAGAAGAAGAAGATGATCGTCCATGTGTCCACTGATACAAAACAGCAATATTATTTGCCTTAAGATAAATAACATAACCTTTTAAATAGCAACACTTAGAAAATCTGAGCAGCCTCGAAACTCAGCTTTTCTCATGATATCTATGTATGACAGATAAATCCTTCTACAGCTATTTGTATTTCAAGATATGCTATTAGGGCAATAACAAAAAATTAATATATTTAGCCTTAATATACTAATAACAACATTTAAGATATATTTTGTCAGGATATTGGCAAAAGAATTGAGCTTTGTCTCTTCACCCCTCACCCTGATCCTTATTGCAATTGGAACGAGAATCTTTTATATGGTGGCATCTACTCTGTAAAATACTTATCTGAGAAAGCTTGAGTACAAGATATTTTTGCACAGCTAGTACACTTATTTTGGAAAAAAAAAACCTTACCCTGATGTATCCATCTGTTCCAACAGTGATCACTTCTCCTTCATCCAGAATTAACTGATTAATAGGACCATTATGACAATTTTTATGGCCAGGTCGGCAGAGTTCCACTTTTATGAGTCCCCCTTCCCAAAGAAGCAAATTTCCCCATTCTGAACCTGAAAGTACCTTGAGTACAAATGAAACAATATTAATTAGTACCATAAATCCAGATGTGCTTTCCAATAGGGACATTGTAAACAATGTAATACTTGCTATTACTGAAACAACTTTTTTTATAATTTTCCTACAAAAGGACTTCGGCCTCTGAAAAGACAGAAGAAACATAATAAGAAGAATACTTTGTACTGAGGAAGAGTGTAGCTGGCAAAGCACCACATACATGGCTTGTTCAATGACATTAACAGTTGACATCAGCCATGATGCAAACAGCTGACAAATGTATCAAAGACCTTGGATATTCCCAGTGGGATATTTTCGATTTTTCCCCATGATTTGCACACTCCATATGAAAAGACAACCTGCTTTGGAAATTTCCCCATGTTTTAGGATATACAGGTGCAACTCGAAAAATTAGAATATCGTGCAAAAGTTCATTTATTTCAGTAATGCAACTTAAAAAGTGAACCTAATATATGAGATAGACTCATTACATGCAAAACAAGATAGTTCACGCCGTGATTTGTCATAATTGTGATGATTATGGCTGACAGCTCATGAAAACTCCAAATCCACAATCTCAGAAAATTAGAATATTACATACAATCAATAAAACAAGGATTGTACATAGAACAATATCGGACCTCTGAAAAGTATAAGCATGCATATGTACTCAGTACTTGGCTTGGGCCCCTTTTGCAGCAACTACTGCCTCAATGCTGTGTGGCATGGAAGCTATCAGCCTGTGGCACTGCTGAAGTGTTATGGAAGACCAGGATGCTTCAGTAGCGGCCTTCAGCTCTTCTGCATTGTTCGGTCTCATGTCTCTCATCTTTCTCTTGGCAATGCCCCATAGATTCTCTCTGGGGTTCAGGTCAGGCGAGTTTGCTGGCCAATCAAGCACAGTAATCCCATGGTCATTGAAGCAGGTTTTGGTGCTTTTGGCAGTGTGGGCAAGTGCCAAGTCCTGCTGGAAAATGAAGTCAGCATCCCCATAAAGCTTCTCTGTGGAAGGAAGCATGAAGTGCTCCAAAATCTCCTGGTAGATGGCTGTGTTGACCCTGGACTTAATGAAGCACAGTGGACCAACACCAGCAGATGACTTGGCTCCCCAAATCAACACAAGACTGTGGAAACTTCACACTGGACTTCAAGCATCTTGCAGTGTGTGCCTCTCCATTCTTCCTCCAGACTCTGGGTCCTTGGTTTCCAAATGAGATGCAAAAGTTGCTCTCATCAGAAAAGAGGACTTTAGACCACTGAGCAACAGACCAGTTCTGTTTTTCTTTAGCCCAGGTAATATGCTTCTGACGCTGTTTGTTGTTCAGGAGCGGCTTGACAAGAGGAATATGACATTTGAAGCCCATGTCCAGGATGCATCTGTGTGGTGGCACTGGATGCACTGACTCCAGCCTCAGTCCACTCCTTGTGAAAGTCCCCAACACTTTTGAATAGCCTTTTCCTGGCAATCCTCTCTGTGGTCATCCTTGCTGCTTGTGCACCTTTTTCTTCCACACTTTTCCCTTCCACATAACTTTCTATTAAAGTGCTTCGATACAGTACTTTGGGAACATCCAACTTCTTTTGCAATTACCTTTTGAGGCTTTCCCTCCTTATGGAGGGTGTCAGTGATGGTTTTCTGCACAACTGTCAGGTCAGCAGTCTTTCCCATGATTGTGCTTCCTATTGAACATCATTTAAACGCTCAGGAACCATTTGCAGGTGTTATGGATTCATTAGCTGATTAGAGTGGGACACTTTGAGCCTAGAATATTGAACTTTTTCACAATATTCTAATTTTCTGAGATTGTGGATTTGGAGTTTTCATGAGCTGTAAGCCATAATCATCACAATTATGACACATCACGGCTTGAACTATCTTGCTTTGCATGTAATGAGTCTATCTCATATATTAGGTTCACCTTTTAAGTTGCATTATTGAAATAAATGAACTTTTGCACGATATTCTAATTTTTCGAGTTTCACCTATATTTATTGGGTTTCTGTTGCTACATTTCCTCAAAAGTATCCTGAATTCTAAGAGATTCATCATGTGGAATAGTTTAAGGATAGAAAATGCTTCTCACCTTACCATCTGGAAGCTCCACATATCCTTCAATATCTGTCAGTGATGTCTTTCCAAACCTACCCAACGCCCCTTGTAATTTCAAGCCAGTAAAAGTGAGAGCCATTCTCCAAAACCTGGATACACAACCATGAAAATTATGTTCGAATTAGCTTCCCCAGTAGAATTTTGTCAGCCTTTTTGTAGGCACCAAAATAATTGTAAAGATAAATCATTGTTTACAGAACAACTCTAACTTTTCTACATACTTCTACACAGTTGTGAGGAATGATAAAAAAATAAATTTGTAGTCAACCACTGTACTATTTCAGCTAAATCAATAAATGCACTTACGACTGAATATGATTTCCTCAAAATCTGATTTGGGAAAACAATCCAAAGTTTTAAACTTTTTGTTTTTAATTTTTTAAAAACTTCTAAGTTGTGAGAATTGGCAGTTGAGGAGATTTTTGTTGCTGTATAATTAGCAAAAACTGGGAGAGACAGTGGAGAGTAGCTTTATTTTTCAGTGGAGAGTAGCTTTATTTTTCCAAATTATTGTTAAAGATAGTATGCCTAAGATCAGACTAACAAAAAACCACAGTTAATTAAATACTAAAACAAATGAGTGGAAAAAAAAGTTTACGAACACAAGTCCAGAATGGACTTTTACTACTGTAAGCAAAAAAATGAATATAATCCACTGCATATGTTTGTCATCAATCAATAGGAATTAAGAGTATTTTCATTTGTGTCTTATATCTTAGTGCTGATAATGCTAAGAACAAAGACCACTGTCTCTCCCAGTTTTTGCTAATTATACAGCAACAAAAATCTCCTCAACTGCCAATTCTCACAACTTACAAGTTTTTAAAAAATTAAAAACAAAAAAAGCTGAGCAATGTGGCATTTTCCATTCTTGGTTACCAACTAAAATTAAGCAGCAAGGAAGCTGTCAAAATTCTTTTCAGTTCCATTTTTGCTTTTTTTGTTCAGGGAACTTTGAGAGAACTGCAAGGGAACGTTTTGTTTACACTACATGCAGCTCAAGAGTTAGAAAAAGATTGAGGCACAAGCTCTTTTGCATGGGCTGCACTATCTTACACTAAACCAAAACCTAACTTCACTCAACTCTCCAATAGAACCTATGTCAGAGAAACACAGACAACTGGAGATGTTTTCAAAAATTTTATTTGTTTGACTTGTTTGCCACCCATCTTGCCTAGAGATGACTCTGGGTGGCTTATTGCAATGCCTTTATGTACTTAAACACTTTATATTTCATTAAATCATAGTTTAACATCTTTCTGTGATTCAGGATGTTTTATATACACAATGTACTGCCATTCACATATCTACACAACGATTTTCCATGATATGCACCAAATAGGTAAAACGATTTCTTTTTAAAAAGTCACGAAACAGCCCACTTTATTCTATGCACAAAAGATAATTTGATCCAATGCTGATGCTGCCCTTGAATATCTGCACAAAACCAAATGGGTTTTCAGTTATCTTAAAAAGCTCGGCTGATTAACTTACACAGTTAATTAGCTAGGCTCCTGCTACAGAGAAAGCACCACGAGGATAATTGTGCAAAGTTTTCTTGGGTGGATGGACTAAGGCTTCCAATTAGTAAGCATTCCTGCTATGTGTTTCTTCTGGGTTTGCCACCCCCTGAGATAATTATATTTGCATTTTCACTTCCTTGCAGCACTTTATTTCTCCCCTTGTCAATGAACAGGAAAGAGGTTCTTCCATTTCCCTAGCGGTTCCCTGGCTTTTTCCCCACCTCCATCCCCTGCAAAAAAACTAACATGATAAGAAAAAAGCAAGGACTACAGCGAGATTGTGTTTCGGCTTTTGCTGATTGGCTTGGTGAAAGAACTACTAGATGCTGCTAGGATTAGGTAATTGGTGGGGTAGCTTGGGGTAACAGTAGCAGTGCACAAAGTATTAGTATCATTGTGAGGGGACAAAACCTACAGCTGCTGAATCAGATTCATATCATTTCCTTTTTGATAATCTATTTTTTAAAAAGGGATAGTTGGCTTACTTGATGTGGCCTGAACCAGATGTAGTAAGTTGTTCTTCATTTTCAGGAGAAAATGTGACTTTATAAACATCTTGTGAAAATGCTTTTGATCTCAATATAATCTTTTCCTGTTTCCAGTCCCAGACTGTCAATGTGTAGTCAGGGCTACTCCCTACGGTGGCTATCAGGGTGCCAGAACGGTTAAAGTCAGCAAATGCATATGCCTGTTCTGTTCCACCTGGAAATAAAACAAAATAATCAGTTTCTCACCATCATATGCGTAACCAAGAAAACATCCCCATTTACCAGTCCTATCAGCTATTAGCTTTTATAAATGGCACATACCATCTTGAAATTTTAAAAATCCAAATAAACCCCCCAAAGTGGAAAATAATCAACTGCTTTCAAAGCATGTACTATGTGTATATGGGGCGTGAGTGAGTGTGCGGTGTGAATTAAAAGTACCTGTTTTTAATAGCGATGTGCAAATGATCTGATGAGATAATGCTAATGGGAAAAAGTTACCCTTGGTTTTGTTCCTTGATGCTATAAAACAAATGCAGCTTGAAGGCCTAGCATGTCCTAGTTTCTATACTTTCTTCTCAGAATTAGAATTCAAAGAATATCCAACAGGATTCTACTTTAAATGAAAAGTTACGAGAAGAACCTTCAATCAACTGTTGGCTTGTTTGGAGTTCTTATCAGCTAGCCATGATTTTTCCCAAATAATATAATCAATTCCAATCCTCTTTCCCCCTACAGCCATCTCCCCAATAGACACTCCGCTTTTTCTAGCAAGGGAGAATGCTCAGTACTTAATGAATTTTGGGTGATGGGGGGGGAGTACCCCACAAGGGTTTACTTTCTGAGCTTTCTCTGTAGGTCTAGGAAACTGATTCCTGCCCAGAGGTGTTGCCATTTTTATTACAAAAAGTTCAGTACTTGGAAAATAAGTTCACTATTAGTACATAAAATTGAACATAAATTATGTGAGATGTTATATTTTATGTATATATAGCAATATAACTGTAAAATACATTGATTTAAGCAAATAAAAATAAGTGCAATAACTTCCAGAAGATGCTACAGAACATGATTTGTTAGCAGAAAAAAGTCAGATGTACCATTTGTATATTTTAAATTTTAAATTAAAAAGCACTAGAAAAATGAAGTGAAATGAAGTAAAATACACACATTGTCTCTTTCTGGTTTTGGTTAAATAACAGCTCAAATAACAAAAAATATACTTTATTTATTACCAATATTTTGATTTTTTTTAACCCAATCTTCATTTATTTTTCTTTTGTACAAAGAAAGAACAAGAGTTGGAGCAAATGATTTTTAAATTGAAATTATGCTCTGCCATTAAACAAAAGATCTCTACTCTTTGCAAAAGAGCAAACACTTATACAAGAAATGAAAATATAATATTACTTTCAGTTCTAAGAAAGTTTATTCTTCTGTATTATTTCAAACTGTGAAACTCATTATATTTTAACCTACCTCGTAATATTCTGTATGGTTTTAAAGAAGGATACTCATAGATAACCATTTTGGGCTTCCAACCTTTTTCTCCTACTGCAAAATGAGTTCGGTCTGGGTGTGCCTAATTGAAGATATTTTTATTTAATCATAGTCTTCTTGCAATCTGAAAGGGTCCCGTATTTGTCTTACATAAAACAATAAAATTAGCAAAATCAAACTGTTCCTTTATTCTTTCAGTAACCGATATCATCCTGAACTTCCATTAAGCACAAACATTTTCCCTTCAGGAATTGTAGACCCAAGGACAAAGAAAAATTTGGCCTTCTACTGTTTCTCATTCTAAAATTATGAAATGGATTCTAGATATCAGTAGTGTTTAGAAATAGAGATGGTCCTCAATATTCACAGTATTGCATATCCATGATTGGCATTTAGAGATCAAACATCAGTATACACATAAAAAAAAAATCCGTGGTTTTGGCTTTATTTTTGTTACTTCATGCACATACAAAATAGCATGATTTTGTAGATGTTTTAAGGGATAGGATATCATCTGTGCATACATTAGACCCTCTCTACACTATGTGTATCATCACAGTCTTGGTGGAGGGGTTTCATGATCATGCCAGTGAATGCTAGTGACAGTAGCAAACAGCAACCCAATTAAGCAGTTCCTAGAGCAAGGCAGTGAAAAAGAAGGCAGCATGAGACCCGCATGTAGCAAGGTAACTCTTGATAGTTGAGCAAGTAAAATTTAAGCTCTAATCAAACAATATCCAAATAAAAATCATAATATATATCTTATTATGGGCCATGGTGGCACAGTGGTTAAAGTGCAGTACTGAAGCTACTTCTGCTGACTGCCAGCTACCTACAATATGGCAGTTTGAATCTTATCGGGCTCAAGGTTGACTCAACCTTCCACTCTTCCGAGGTGGGTAAAATGAGGACCCAGATTGTTGGGGCCAATATGCTGACTCTGTTACCCACCTAGAGAGGGCTGTAAAGCACTTTAAAGCAGTATATAAGTCTAAGTGCTATTGCTAGTGCTAGTGCTAGTGCTATTCATATTTAATGTAATGATTTGAGAAATAAGTACCACATCTTTTGAGATTAAAAATCCTACAATTAGTCTTCTAAATACTTATTAATAAATATGCAAAATTTAAAGAATGAATGAAATAAGCTGTTAGAAACCTCCATTTTATCTTTAAAAATAGGTAACTATCTTAATATCTAAATCAAAAATTTCAGAGAGTACAACTTATTCAACCCAAAAATAATAAACTGGATTTATTAGATCCTGTTCTGATATAACCAAGTAAGTATATCATCATGGTTTTGTTAATGCAATAAGAACAATGCTTCTTCATTCAGACAGATATCCTAAAGTATAATATTCCGGAAAAATAATTACATATATTAACTTTGAAATAGATTTTGATATTTTGGGATGTCTGTACTCTTTTAAATTACATTCTTACTACATGGAAATTAATACCTGGACAACAGAATAGAGTTCTCTATGTCCTTTATACTCCTAAGAACTTCTCCAATAGAAAAATAAATAATCAATGGAGTTAAGAACTGATGTGACTTTTGAATGAGATGTTTACAAACATAAACTATGCATGGAAGATTATATTGAAATATGATAGTCCTTTATTGAAACTGTTGAGTAAATCTCTGCCTATATATACAGTACATGAATAAAACACTACTATGTGTTTCCCTTTTTTCTGTTTGTTCTGTTAAATAAAATAAAAAAATATAAAGGGAAGCAACCCCCATTAAAAATTCTGCATATTTTTCTGCCAAAAAGAATTTAAGGAAAAATTCTTTAAGATGTATGTCATACCGTGATTACACCAATCCCTCCACCACCTGTGCTTCGAAGATATCTCTGGTAGTTCGATTTCAAATCCAGAAGAACTAACTGGCTGCCAGCTATGTAGAGGAGAACCTGACTATCCAGCATGTGGAGGTTTGCTCGTCTAGTGCAGTCATATCCAAAAGAATGCCTGAGGAATGCATGCTAAGGAAATAAATGATGATGGGACTAGGTTTATTGTATTTGAATAATAAATTTACCATTAATGAAAAAACAGTAATATATTATGCATAATGAAACAAGACAGAGTGATGTGCTAGTTAATGAACTAGATTAGAACAGGGAAATTCCAAGATATAGCTCATTGTAATCTGGAAAATTCACTTGGTGAGTTTCAGTTAGTCACTCATTTTAATTCAGCCTGCAGTATAGGGTTGTTGTAATTGGGAAAAATGGAGTAAAGGAATCTTATGTCCTAAAGGCATAGAATTTGAGTGGACTATTGAGTCTAATCCAATGACTCACTACAGAAATTTAAAGTAAATCATCTCCCAAACAATTACTGAAGTCTCTACCTAAATTCATCCATTGAAGAGGACTTTAAATGCTTCTCTTGGTAACAGTTCCATCACTAAGATGCTGCTAGTTTTTTTAACATATAGTTGAAATCTTTAATTCTTATCTTTAAGAACTTTCAAACCACGGGAAATAGGTTTTTCTGATTCAGATATGTAAAGGGTATTGTGTACATATTTGCACTGTAGTAAAACATGCTCCCTCAGTAATATTTTCTCAAAGCTAAATATTTCCAATTACTTATTTTCTTCCATAGGGTTTAGATTCTAGTTCCCTAATAATTCTTTTTGCTGAATCTGTTCACTTTATCCGAATCCTTCTTAAAATGCTGTACTCAGAATTTCCCAAAGTGCTGAAGCAAATGTAAGCAACTTGTTCCACTCTGAAGGAAATAAATATTAAGTTACTCTTTTATAGTAGAATTAGAAATATTAAGTGCATTGTTAAGCTGTGTTATCTTTGTTGCTGTTTCCTAACCACAAAGTATGTTCAGTTAAACAAAACACGCTGGATAGTTGCAGGCTTCTTAGAAAACAGGAACATCCCCCCAAGGCGAAGGTATAAGTAAACAAGATAAGATATCTGATGCCTAGGAAGGAACAGTAAAGCTGACCTGAGGTGGTATTCAGCAGGTTCTGACCAGTTCTGGAGAACCGGTACGGAAATTTTGAGTAGTTTGGAGAACCGGCAAATACCACCTCTGACTGGAGATTTTAAGTATCCTTCTCCTGCCACGCCCACCAAGCGATGCCCACAGAACTGGTAGTAAAACAATTTGAATCCCATCACTGAAGCCGACCCTTACCTTATAGTATGACTTAGAGATAATAACGAGAGTGGGGAGGGCTTCTTAGGCATGGCATGCATTGTGTAGAGTGTATAAAATGTATTGTTTGATCATTAGATCTTGCTCTTCTTGTACCCAATCCACTTTGGAAGGAACTTGAAGGCCCGTTTGATAAAGCTTATTTTCTTTAATAAACCTTTTAATTATGAACCAGACTTGTCTCTGTATTATGAGTATTAAATAATTTGGGTCTCACATCTCACAACTCTATACTGCTTTGTCAGCCTTAACCTAATTTAACCCACCGTTTTTTGTTGTTTTTTTCAAAAGAAAACCAATACCTTATTTACTAAATCTGTAATACATTCCACCATTAATATATTGAATGTATTATTCCCAATACTGTTTTTAAAAGCAAATATATTTGTTTTTTTCTTTGGTTTATGATAGGAAACTCAAATCCTAAATACATGGATCTCTGGCAAAAATGGATACATAAGAGAGAGCAGGTTCATTGGGATGCCAGAATCTGGAGTTATATATGGATTTGAGCACAGTTCTTCATAGTTATAATAGAAATTTTCAGAGATCTTCTTCTCTACTACTTCTTTTTTCTTCTTCTTCACTGGTTCTGGAGGCTTTTCTGGTTCTGGTGGTGGTTCTTCTTCTTCTGGATTTCAAAAATACCATCATAAAAACAATATATATTGCTAAGAAAAAAACACTCATTTTAAAAACAATTCCAGTGGACTCCTCAAATCTGCCTGTGCTGGGTTGTTTGCTTACAGATGTTTCATTACCAAGTAGGTAACACCATCATTTTCACTGAGTATTTTCTGGAGAGGATCCCGAAGCCAGAACTGCTGGCTAGACAGGGATTAACATCAAACAATAAATCAAGCAGAAATCAATGCCCTAATCAAGAAATTACCAAAGAGGAAAAAACTACACCACCATCAACATTAGCAGGGTAAGTATATAAACAAGGAGCAAACCCCACACTCAGTAGCACTGATGTTACCTTAGTTGGGTGATGAAAAGTCTGCAAGCAAAAAACCAAGCTCAGACAGCACCAAGAACTCCATCATTCAACTTTGAGCTACATATGTATATTCTCTTCTGTTGGAACAAATCTAGTGTCAGGTGCCTGGAGTAGAGATCACTGGAATAAAGGGAAACCCTGAGATAACTTGCAGTCTCAACAACAATGGATTTGAACTTCATTAAAATATCAGTCTGGACTATAAGAGACAATGTCTAATGTTCATAAGATTTCAGAAGAAAAAAATAAATGATAAAAGAAGATCACATAACATTAAAAATTAATTGATAAGCAGAGAACAGTATAAAAATACACTTTTCAAATCCAGAGATTGCTAACAACACGCACCTTCACTTGCAGGGCTTCCCACATCCTCATAATCATCTTCAGGTAACTTTTCTCCTTCTTCTCCTTCTGGAGATGTTTTAGTTTCTACAAATAAGAACATTATGTATATGTATGTACAACTTATATTCACACATACACACGTGCATACACACAGATTTTTTCAGTCACATTTCAGCCCAAAAGGGGTCCTAAAGTGCCTCATATTAGAAAACATTAAACAATGCAAAAGATTAAAATAATTTTCACATGCAGAAAAGCATGAGTGACAAATATTTTTTAAAACATAGAAAAGGCTCAGTGTACTTAAAGTCATTCAATGACTCATCAGTAAGTAATTATTTGCTTTCTTTAGAAAAAATATTCTACAAACCAAAGTGCCATTGCAGAAAAAGTTCTGTCACAGACTTAGACTTAGTTTTATCTGCTTCGCTTGAAAAAAACATATATAGACTAGGTCCTAATGGACTTAGTCAATGCACATCTGAGAGTAAGACAGATAAAAACAATGCACAACATGATCCTATTTTAGACTGTCTAAGATACATACGGAGTTGAAAAATAAAAATCTGGCTTAATCTGCCTTTAAATATTATTTGTGCCTCAGATTTTTCATCCAAAGAAAACCTGTGGCAATTGGTACTACATTCCAAATGAGTTACGTTTTAATAATTTGAGCAATAATTTGAGTAGGCTGATGACCTTCAATCTTCTCAAACCTATCACAAAGCATATTCACAAGAACAGATAATCCTTGATTTATGAGAGTAATTGGGACTAGAATTTCCATTGCTAAGTACCATGATTGCAAAGTGTGACCATATTGTTTAGTGATGGCAATCACTGCAATTCTGATTGTTGTAACTAACTGAATCCCTCAGTGGTATCACTGTTAGATGAGGCGACTTCCTGCTGGCTTCACATATACATGTCCGTGAGGAATCTGGCAGGAAGTTGTTCAATCTCAGACAGCTTGTAATAGGCTACCAAGTAGGTATGTAGCTATTATGTGAGGATGCAAGAGAATCACAGCAAGGCTTGAGAAGGATGCACAAAAGTGAGGAGGTATGTGATGGTGGAAGGAGAAATGGCAAAAGTTGAGGGATATGTGGGAGGTTCAAGTGTCAAAGAGAATGCATGGAGTGCAAGGAGATGCATGTAGGTGTGAAGATGAGGCTTAGGGGAAGTGCATGAGGTGCACAGAGGTGTGGAAGGATGCGGAGTACAGCGAGGTTCAGACAGAATTCAAGGGGATGCACAAGGATGCAAAGGAAGCACACTGAGGCTCACGGAGGTGCAGAAATGTAAATGTGCTAGGAAAAGGTTTGCAGGTGGGGGAGACTTACCAAGCAACTTGTGACCTTCCCTGCCAGTTTCCCCATTGACCTTCTGGGTAGTGAAAGTTGCAAATGGCAGTTATGTGACTGCGAGTTGCTGCAACTAGTTGTAAGTGTAAGCTTGGTTGCCAAGCACCCAAATCAAGGTCATGTGACTTGACAGCCAGATCTCCAAGGACTGATCATAGCCACCATTCATTCAGTGCCATTGAACTTTGAATGATCGTTGACTGAATGGTCTTACGCTGAGGACTAACTATGCAGCAAAAAAGTCTACTGATTCTTATCACTGAATTAGTATATGCATTAATCCCATCACTTACACCAACACAAAAAAACGATAGCAATATATAGTTTAGCTTTTTGAATTTTGCAAACATTAAATAGACTTACAAGATAAAGCACATTTAAAGTAGCAGCTCTGTTATCATCATCTATTTATAAATGGTTCCTAAAGTACAGCAATTATTGCATATTTCTATCTATCAGTGGTATATATTTTAGTAGACATTTCACTTGAAATGACACTTCTTGTAATAATTGGTTAGCAATACTCACCAGCTGATACTTCTTTGATCTCTTCCTGCTGTTCTGCTACAGTTGGTGCCTCTTCTGATTTTTCACTTTTATCTGTAAGTAATATTAAGATTTAAATATGCCTTTAGTAGGGAACATCTAATCCACAAATTCTATACTTAACTGTCCAATTTGTCCTATGGAGCATAGAAATATATCTTAATTTTACTATATATATATATTAGTCATATTAGTAGAACTTTTTAAAAAGTTTCCAGTCAAGTTGAAGGATTTCATCAAAATCATTAGGGTACTTAAAACTTTTATTCATAAGATATTACATATTTTAAAAAAATAATCATCCTTATTTTCATATACAGAAATAGAGTATTCATACATTTGCATTAACAATTTATGTGTTTTTTTAAAATCACTATGTGATTCTAGTGCATAACACATATTTACTACTTCGTTAAAAACTCATACCTTGAAATTTTAAATCCCATGAAACCCACAATTACATTTTGAGACTGAAGTTGTATATAATTAAAGAAATTAACTTAATATTTCTTGCACAAAGTTTTTCAGACAGACAAATATTTGAAGACATGGGAAATTATTTCCGTACATGAAACTTGGGGAAAACATGACTTTTAAATAGTTTCCATTATTAATTCTTTATAAGATAAATTATCAGCCCTCCTTCTATTTGGGTTTCAGAACTGGTCATGAATACTAAGTGGCATTGATCACATTAGTAGATCATCTCTGGTAGAAGCAGGTTGGGGTGCTTCTCTTTGAACTCACAATAGTTTTTGATATTATCATAGTATCCTTTTGAACCATTTCCAAAGGTGTTCTGGTCCGCCCACAGCTGGCGGATCTGGCAGCAGAATCAGACAGTAGTGAGGAGATTGGGGAGGAACCCGGGCCATTCTTGGAGGCTGATGAAGGCTCAGGTGAGGGCTCTGCATCAGAGGAAGAGATGGGGCTAACCCTAACCCTAACCTTGGCACTAGACACAGCTTCAGAGGATGCTTTGAAACAGCACAGCAATCGAGGGCTGGAAGGGATCTCAGAGATCATCTAGTCCAACCCCTGGCTCCAAGATCATTGTTAGTTTCTCTCTTTTGACCCACCCAGACATATGACTACATAACCATGCCCACCTAGTCACATGACCACATACCCACACCCACCTTGCCATACCCACCGTCATGTGGCCACAGCCAGGCTCCCATCATATGACCACCTAGCCATGACCACAGAAGCGGTTGTAAAAAAAAATTGAATCCCACACCTTATCATTATGGAAGAATAGTAATCATGCTGCACCACTGAATTAGCTGCCCATAGACAAATGGAAAAGTTGATCAATATGTATTATGTGTGGACAATTATTAACTTATAATTTAAAAACTAAGCTACTTTAGGCATTGTTTTTATTTCTTTTTTATACTTTATACTTTGTGTTTTGTATTTTGTTGTATATTTTGTTGAATAACTGTACTTCCTACGAATGGCACTCATATATCCGCTAAAAAGTAAAGTTAAAGTACCAAATGTTACATTTAGGAAAAATCAAAAAGCAACAGCAAGAAATGTTAAGTTAAAGCCTTGTTGAGTTTTTATAGCAAATTTGAGAAATATGCTTATTTTTGAATTCTGCATCTCCTTCCCCAAAGGGAGGAAAGAGTCGCCTATGGAGGTTTCTTGATCATGTTTTAACATTCTCCCTCTTTTCAGTTTGAAGACGTGGTTTCCACAAAATACTCCAATGACTCTGAACCTGTTTATTATTTCAATAAATGCATTTGCCTGCTTTTACAGCTCATTGCTATGAGACAGGGAGAGTTTCGGAGGTGGGGTATTTCAAGGCCAAGGGAAGCCAATTCCAAGATTAACGTCTTAAGTGGAGAAAGCGGGAAAGTTACCTTTTGCTTCGTCGCCCTCCTGTTCCCCACTCGGCTCCATTGTAGGTTGACACTGGTTGCTGAGCAACCAAAGACAGGCGCCCAAAGATATCTGGGAAATGGAGTTTCAGAATTGCGCGTGCTTAAGGCGCCTGCGTGGAGTATTAGGCTCCTAGTGGAGACTTTACCGGGTATTTTCCTGTAGTGATTCCATACTTTGTAAACTTTGCTTCTGTATTAACTGGTGGGACACAGGAAGTCATTTTGACCAGGAAGGAGACGGAAGAAACATAAACAGTTTTGGAATGGCGGCGATAGTCCCAAAGGTGCTTTTTCAAGAGGCAACTGGGGCACTTTAGGCCAATCATGACCTTGGATGACTGAGAATCTCCACAGACAATGGTGGCGATAAATGAAGATTGAGAAATAAAAAGCAAATAAGAATCTGTGGATTAAGGTTCTTCTTGCTTATTTTCTGTTTTTGCTGCACTGCAACTCCCATAATCGCCGGTCCGCTCCTCCCATTCATTGAGATTTAGGGAAACGCCTCCGCGTTCAAGAAGTCTCCTCTTTAACAGCGCGTTAAAAGAGGGTGCTTGTTCATTTGTTACTCTTGAGATATACCGCCGACTATCTTCCAGTTTTAACAGTTGCTGAACGGGATAAAAAAAAAAAAACCCAACGCATTCCTAAAAAGTGGCTTATAAATCCCCATCTCCCACGGGGGTTGCCGCCATTTCCCAGCCGACAAGCTTGGAAACTTTCAAGAGTTGTACAATACTCGGCAACGCAAATGCAGTAATGGGAGAAAGCTGCACCTGATTTCTTCACTCAGTTAAACATGCTGGAAACTTAAAAGCGGGGCGGGAGGATCAAGCAAATGAACTCATTTCTTCTACAGTTGCCAAAGGCGCGGCCGCTGCAATTCTGCGCTGACAAATGTATTTTTAATTTTACTAGGTTAATGGCAAGTGTTACGCTTTATGGCTGTTCAGAAACTATTCGCTGCAGCAAAACCCCAAACTGTCCAATTAAGGACAATTATCAAGCTTTCAAAAGATCAGTGTTTCTGAATTGAAAAGATCCAGTAGATAAGATCGGGCCACAATCTTTTGCGAATGCATGTGTAGTCAATAAATCGTCCCCTTGGGCACAGTAAGAGGGAAAAATGCATGTAGATATGTGTCATCTTGTGTGCAGGTACCATCCAACTCCATCGAATTTCTGCTTGCGTAAGGCGATATTAGAAAAATGGAAAGGGAAAGAGAAAATAAGAGATCACAACTGACATATTTTTTTAATTTTTCAAATGTAAACATTCCATTTTCCATTAAATTGTCGTCTGTGCAATAACAATCAAAATTTACAACAGTATATAGTATTTTCTAATCTTACAATCGTGATATTGTATATAATAAACCTATGTAAGAACTGACATTCATTAGCACTAGATAAAATAGTTGGATCTATAGTTTGCGACTCATAGCCTTGTGTGATTTCAACTAGTGTAATTAGCGAGATAATCGTGTTAATTTCATAACCGCGATCCAGTTCATTATACGTGGTGAGAACACCGCCGGCATAAATTTCAATATAGGGAAAAGAAGCGAGGACGGTGCTATTGCATTCCAATCTTGCTCGCTACCTTCTCTTCGGCATCGGGCTAGCCGTAATCGGAACAGAATAATGGACGGCGCCCTATGGGGAGATCCAGCAGAAGTCGCTGCTCACGCTTTCCCAGCAAGCTTCAAGGAAGGAGGGACCCTTAGGGCGAGCGCGGCACCTGCAGGTGTTCGCCGCGGAGTGCACCTACGGGGAATGGCAAAGTGCCTCAGCAACAGGTGGCGGAGGATCCTGAACGGAGGAAGTGGGTGCTTGCTTGCGCTCGGCCGCTCCTCACCCGGGAGAAAGGTTCGAGGCTCCCTTCCCCGGCTGCGGAAAAGCAGAAGAAAACTCGTGGATTTGGGAGTTAGGGAAGGGCGGGCTGAGGTTTACTTAGAGGCTCCGGGCAGTGGGAGGAGACGCTATGGCCTGGATCTGGCAGTGGCAATTTCAAGCGCTTTGGATCGGCCTCACCTCGACAGGTGAGTCGACAAGGGGGGAGAGAAGCTGAACAGAACCGAGTAACCTCGATTTTTTTTCTCTTGCTTTTAGCTAGTAAATTGACCCCCCCCCCTCCACCCGCTACTTTTTGCCGCCTTACCTGGTTCTTCCCCGCTTGCCTTTTATTTTTTTTAACCAATTTCCTCCTCAGACAGCCTGGAGGCTGAGCAATTGATCAACCGCATTCAGATATTTCTCAACTCTTTAAAATTATTTAAACTTTCCTTGAAAGAAGGAAATGTTTGCTGATGTAAAATCTCAATTTGGGGGCTGGAAGAGGTTTGGCTAGGAACTAGAGATCTGGTTAATGTCACTTCCCTATATTTCAGTTGTTAACTTGCATGTATGTAAAAATTTGTATGTAGTACATACATACATGTAGAAGTTTTGTCCAAGTGAAAATTGTTAGAAATTCACATATAGTATTTTTTCTTTAGATGAAAATTGTGACTTAACTGAATGCATAACTTTAGATTGACAGAAATACTGTGTGCGATGTATGCTGTTTATTTTGTCTTCACTATTATTGCACCTGGGTGACTTTTTTCTTTTCTCTCGAGGACAATACAGTAGTTTGTTAAAGGTAAACTCTGGGCTTACTCTCATAGTGAAATAACTAAAGTCACATACCCTCCTAATGTACATGCATCAATTTTATATTTCCTGTTTTTCACAAATTCTTGCTTTACACATATTTGCAAACACAGCATGTAAAGGAGTTTGTATAAGACATAGTTTAAAAGTTTGGTGGTGGCTAATGTGACTAGAATATGTTTCAAGGTATTGTGCTTTGCCAAGTGATAGGAAAACAAAGTAAGGTCAGTTCCAAAGATTATGTACTTTTTTCCATACTGAGAGGAATATCAAGAGAATGGAAGAGCTTTGAAAAATGACTTTCTGACCATTATCTTGTTAGAACACTGACAGTGGAGGACTAACAATTACAGTTTTTTCAGAATTGCTATAGAGATCTTTTGCTCAATTGTGTTTTATAATATCACCAAGACAGAACTATTGTGATATAAAATCTGTTTGCTGATAATTTGTTACCATAGCAATGGTTAAATGATACAGTAAGTTCTATAAATCACTAAATAAAAGTAGTCTATGGATGGACTTCCATCTCATCCTAAAGAGAGTGTCACTATATTCTTTCAAGGATATTCTTTACGGAATTGACTTCTAGATCATATATGGAGGCCTGAGGTTCCTCAGATGTTATACAGTTATGTCTTCCTCTAGCTGTAGTTCCAATAGAGAAGAATGCAGGTAGATCAACAGTGTCTAGAAAGGGAATACGTTCTATTTTGGTACTGTTTTTCAAATCATGTTCCAGTCTACAATAATAATATACAGAGCTGTCTTCATAATAGTTTTTTTTAAGCCCCACCTTGAAAAATATTTTTCCCAATTTGTTAAAACTTCCCTGGAGGTATTATTTGCTCTCCAAATGTAATAGATTCAGTAAGGTGCAAAGACTAAGTTATTGAGGTATGCAGATGTTCCAGTTCAACAGCTGTAATAGCCACTCCATTGGAAAAGGGCAGTGTAGCCCATAGTGGAAGTATTCTACATAACTGAGAAATTGCTTTAATATCTCTCATAAAGAATTACTTTACATTCTGTTTGGAATTCAAAGAACAAAACTGCTGAAATAAAATGAAATGCTCTTTCTACTCTTTATAGTCAGTTACTACTTGAGTTATTCCACATAAGGCAGCATATGTTTATGTTATGTTATCACAAGTACTGTGATAGCTTTCATACTGGAATATTTATTTTATGTTATCTTGTATACCTAAGTGATAGAGAGTTCACAGGATTAAGCTAATAGGTATATCTAATATAACTGTAAGTATTCATAATTTATTTTACTTGAAAAAATATATAAAACCACCCAATTCATACTTAATGACTCTAGGCACTGTGGATCAATACTTTCAAGATCTTTTAAGACATTGCAAGTTTAAAGCTTTCCCTTTTCAGTGTGCCTCTAGAATAATACATGTTACACCTCTGTTCTGCATGCATTGGTTATGAGTTTGCTTTGGGATCCAATTCAAGGTGCTCATTTTGACCTTTAAAAGTGCTAGTGTTGACCTTCCTGGCATAGGTTATTTGAGGGACTGCCTCTGGCTGATTGCATCTGCCTGCCCCATCAGGTCTGGAAGAAGGCATATTGCAAGTCCCATCTGCTAGCAAATCACGTTTGGTGATCCCAGGAGGCAGGCTTCTCTGCTACAGTGCCCACCTTATGGTATCTTTCCCTCTCCCCAAATAAGCTTAGTTGCTTCCCTTAAAACATTCTACAAGTCTCAAGACCTGGCTATGTTATCAGGCTTTGGGAGGGAAGGTGTCCCAGGAACCAAGGAGAATTTGCAATGACTTCCCTTACGCATTTGTAGCAAAAAGTCTATAGGGGGAGATCAAGTGTTGATTTCAAAAATGCAACAGCTATTGCATGTTGCTGTTAATTTTTTTGTCAGTAATGTTGTAGGAGATGACCAGGCTGAGCCTGAGGGTGGGGTCAAATGCATCATCAGTCTGGAATAAAAGAAATCTATATCCAACCCAGTTTGAAGCCCTTTGACTCTTACACAGCGCCAATTAGCCTCCACCATTAGTAGATCATATTCTTATGTATAGGTAGAGGGAAGAAATTTGTAGTACTTTTGAATCCTATCCTGGTTCCTGATTTCTTGAACTTGACAAATATTTGGAAAAAAAACACCTGAAGCATCTTTTTTTGCAGACACTAAAACTGACTTCACTTCCACTTTCTCTTCTTCACATCTCTTTCCTAGTCTGCAACTATAATATTCAATTAATAACCCAGAATACAATGTGATGTTTGTGTTTGTACCTGTATAGGTTGTTTCTCTGTTCTCGTGACGGTGCCAGATACTGAGCGATACACCACTTTATTTGCATCTGTGACTCTCCGATGTGACTATAGTACCTCAGCACCACTGCAGGATGTAGTTGTTACTTGGCGCTATAAATCTTTTTGCAAGGATCCCATTCTTGATTATTATACTATTGGTGAGTACTTCTGCTAAGGATCAGCCAAGGATTACTACGTAGCATGATATAAGGAAGGAAATAGATTTTTTTTCCCCCATGCACAAAATCCCCAAATAGTTCCCCTGAAATATACCATGATTGATGCATCAACAAACTGCTCATAGAAAAAGATCTGAGCTCAAAAATGACGAAGGAACGTCAAAAAGAAATGACAGAATTTGAAATGTCTCTAAAATCAACTATTTATTAGGCTGCTTATTTGAATATGATATGATTAAAACATGCATGGCAAATTAGATGCAACATTTCAAAGAAATAGCCCCAATTCAGTGATGGGAAAAATGGTAGAACACATCTGTAAAATTTACTCCAGTATTCAACTTTGTGAATAATTGACAAAATAGAGAACATAGTAATAAATGTTGAAAATGTTATGAAACAGGAGAAACAGTCTACTGTATGTGGTATATATGTAGAAAATCCCCTAAGTACAGATAGTCCTTGACTTACAAAGTTCATTTAGTGACCGTTCAAAGTTATTGATGGCACTGAAAAAGGTGTCTTAATGACCATTTTTCACAGTTATGGCTTTTGTAGCATCCCCATGGTCATGTGATCAAAATTTAGTTGCATGGCAGTTGGTTCATATTTATGATCATTGCTGTATCCCAAGATCATGTGATCACCTTTTGTGATCTTCTGACAAGCAACGTCAGTGGGGAAGCCAAAGTCACTTAACAACTGTATTATTAACTTGCCAACTGCAGTGATTCACTACAACTATGACAAGAAAGGTCATAAAATGGGGCAAAACTCAATAAATGTCTCACGTAACAGAAATCTGGGCTCAATTGTTATCGTAAATCGAGGACTACCTGTATTGGGGAGGAAATTTCTTATTCAGAATTTTAGGGCTCAAAATGAAACTACATTTTTACTAAGTGTAATCACAGAAAATGTCAATAAAAATAACATTTATTAAGATACATTGCTTACACCTGTAAGGATAAACTTTGGAGAACATTGGAAGAAAAACAGTATGGCAATATCAGATTGGGAACTTGATTTTGGAGAATATGCAACAATGATGGAATTAACATCAAATATACATAACAAAATTTTAACTAAATTTAAGCAACAATAAATTACATATATTATGCTGCATGGTAAATACACTGCTCAAAAAAATAAAGGGAACACAAAAATAAGACATCCTAGATCTGAATGAATGAAATATTCTTATTAAATACTTCGTTCATTACATAGTTGAATGTGCTGACAACAAAATCACACAAAAATTATCAATGGAAATCAAATTTAGCAACCCATGGAGGTCTGGATTTGGAGTTACACTCAAAATTAAAGTGGAAGAAAACACTACAGGCTGATCCAACTTTGATGTAATGTCCTTAAAACAAGTCAAAATGAGGCTCAGTAGTGGGTGTGGCCTCCATGTGCCTGTATGACCTCCCTACAATGCCGGATGGTCTCCTGAGGGCTCTCCTCCCACACCTGGACTAAAGCATCCCCCAACTCCTGGACAGTGTGGTGCAATGTAGCGTTGGTGGATGGAGCGAGACATGATGTCCTAGATAGGCTCAATTGGATTCAGGTCTGGGGAACGGGCGGGTCAGTCCATAGCATCAATGCCTTCGTCTTGCAGGAACTGCTGACACACTCCAGCCACATGAGGTCTAGCATTGTCTTGCATTAGGAGGAACCCAGGGCCAACCGCACCAGCATATGGTCTCACAGGGGATCTGAGGATCTCATCTCAGTACCTAATGGCAGTCAGGCTACCTCTGGCAAGCACAGGCAGGGCTGTGTGGCCCCCTAAAGAAATGCCACCCCACACCATTACTGACCCACTGCCAAACCGGTCATGCTGGAGGATGTTGCAGGCAGCAGAATGTTCTCCATGGCGTCTCCGACCCTGTCACATGTGCTCAGTGTGAACCTGCTTTCATCTGTGAAGAGCACAGGGCGCCAGTGGCGAATTTGCCAATCTTGGTGTTCTCTGACAAATGCCAAACATCCTGCACGGGGTTGGGCTGTAAGCACAACCCCCACCTGTGGACATTGGGCCCTCATACCACCCTCATGGAATCTGTTTCTGACCGTTTGAGCAGCCACATGCACATTTGTGGCCCGCTGGAGGTCATTTTGCAGGGCTCTGGCAATGCTCCTGTCCCTCCTTGCACAAAGGCGGAGGTAATGGTCCTGATGCTGGGTTGTTGCCCTCCTACGGCCTCCTCCATGTCTCCTGATGTACTGGCCTGTCTCCTGGTAGCGCCTCCATGCTCTGGACACTACACTGACAGATACAGCAAACCTTGCCACAGCTCGCATTGATGTGCCATCCTGTGTGAGCTGCACTACCTGAGCCACTTGTGTGGGTTGTAGACTCCGTCTCATGCTACCACTAGAGTGACAGCATCGCCAGCATTCAAAAGTGACCAAACCATCAGCCAGAAAGCATAGGAACTGAGGTCTGTGGTCACCACCTGCAGAACCACTCCTTTATTGGGGATGTCTTGCTAACTGCCTATGCTTTCCACCTGTTGTCTATTCCATTTGCACAACAGCATGTGAAATTGATTGTCAATCAGTGTTGCTACCTAAGTGGACAGTTTGATTTCACAGAAGTGTGACTGACTTGGAGTTACATTGTGTTGTTTAAGTGTTCCCTTTATTTTTTTGAGCAGTGTATATTTAGAGTATGGTTTCTAATGCCAACATTTACTGTAAATCATCTGAAATACAAAGGCAAAGGTCAGAAGTTAACTGTTTATATTTCTTTAAGGGTGGTTTATTATCTTTTTAAACATTTAGATACAACAGAGTGGAAATTTTGCTATTAAGCTCAAAAATTTATACTAGTTTTTAGATCAATAAAAACAATGTAATACACCCTACTTGTATCTTTTATTAATTGAGCAGTTGTATAACTTCAGTAATTATCTCTTTATTCATAGATTTTTTTTGAAAATGCTTTAGGAGTTCTACTCCCCCTCCCCACCTGTAAAGAAATCTATTCCAAATGTAAAACACAAGCAGAGGAGAAGAGTTTCAGTTTCAGTTTTACTTTCACAGTTGAGCTAAGCCATGCCCAGGCTCCATGCTGTCTCCTTGCTCACACAACAAATACAGCTTCAGTTACAAAAAAGCCCTCAACTCTCTCACACACTGATAGGACACTAGCCAGATGAATACCGATAGATGCTTGTAGGCAGAGGCACATTTTTCCCCCTTATTTTCCTCCCCCAAAACTAAGCTCGATCACATAGTTTCATAGCAAAGCACAAGTATAGAGCTAGTAAAAATAATAAGCACAAAGTACTGTTGATGCACAATTTAAAATGTGGAAATGAATATATGTTTCTATATGCTGCATTATTGCTAAATAAAGTTTTAAAAAATAGCCACTTCCATGGAACTCCACCTTTAGTGTCTAGCCAGATTTTGGTAATACAAGACTGATGGCTCTTCTCCAGAATGAGAATTTGAATGAGGGAAGCTTTATCATAAACCAACCTGATATTAAGCAGCAGCAGCTGAAAGCTGTGGCTACCAAGAATCTAATGACTTGGAGTTGAGAACAGGGAGTAAAAGGTAGAAGCATACAAGACACCAAGAGTACCTTCCTTCTGAGCAGTCTATGCACCCCTCCTCCCTGTCTCCCACTGTATCTGGGACTGCTTTCCATATCCAGGATGCTGCTTTCCACCCCCAGTAAATCACTCCCTTCCAAGCTCTGCCAGCCCACATACAAGATAAAGGATCCCATCTCCATCTAAAATTTCCAAGTCAGAGTTAGGAGAGCCGTACAAGTAATGAATTAAATTAAAATGAAACTAATTGTTATTGCTTAGCATTGTAATAGTCGTTTTTTATTTCTGTTAAAAAGCCTACTAGGCCCATCATTTTCCATTCCCATTTATTGACAGATCCCAAGAACTTGGCCTTTATTCAATTCTTGATGTGGTTATCATTACATACTGTTCTACAATGAATTTGCTTGTTTGTGGTTTGATATGCTCTGTGAACCCATCAATTGTTTGTTTACTAAAACATGCTTCAAATGTATGGCTTATATGACATAGACTTATTTTGTTATACAGGTTTGCTAATTCTTGATCCATTTTTGCCTACCAACAAGTTTGGCACACCAGTTGTTTACATCTGCTTATTTCATTTGTCTTCTGCCTTTTTTCCACCAATGGGATATGGTTAGGATTACCAATCATTGGTTATCTGTTTTCTTTAAATATATATATATGTACTTATACCATCATTACAATAAGGATTTTGTGCCAACTGTTTAATTCTCAATGAACAAAAATATTTTGGAAGTGAGAAGTTTTTTGGAAGTGAGATTTTAATGCTAGTGTGGTCAGAAAAGGAACAAGAGGCAGTTTGTTGTCTTTTCTAAATCTGTTGTAAATATTAGAACGTGGTGCAATCAAACCTAAAAATCAAACCTAAAAAACCCTAAATAACATAAAGTACTTCTACAAGAAGTTTTGTTACTTAATTTTATCCTATTTTTTCTACTGTTTCTACTATTAAGGAAATTATACAAAAGTGCAAAGAGAGTGGAGCATTTGGTTCCCAAATAGTATAAATAATTTGACATTTATTTACAGCCTATCAGGCAAGCTTAGAACTTGGCCAGGATCCTTCCAATGACTGCAATGACAACCAACGGGAAGTGCGCATTGTTGCTCAGAAAAGAGGTCAGAGTGAACCAGTGTTGGGTGTTGATTACAGGCAGCGAAAGATCACAATTCAGAATAGTAAGTGATCTTTGGATATGTTAGCAGTCTCAAAAATTATGTAGAACAGTATGCTTTTGACACTCCTTTTTAATGTTTTATGCAATCCTCATTTAATTCTGTCTTCATACCATGATATATACTGTAGGGCACCAGATTAAAATAACATGTTTAAATGATTGTTATCAGTAAGAATTTACCAGATTAGTGTTTATGTAGCTTGGAATTTTTCAGCACTATTTTATGTCCATTGTACAATAAATTTTCTTCAGGATTTTTTTTTTGTCCATTCTGATTCAGCCTTCAAACCTCCAAACATTCTAAACAGAGTGACAGGTCCTTAAAATAGGCCAAAACAATTAATCCTAGGCTACTAATGTGATTACGCCCCCAATTCAATTAAGTATTAATGCCCAAGGTAAATGGGTATTGAAAATGATGGTACACATTTTATTTTCTGTGAAGAGTATCACTGGATCATCACTGTGTTGATTGTGATGGCCCAGGAAAACAGAAGAATCTATGGCAGTGTGCAGCATCCATGGATGGCTGTTGCGGACCACAGCATCTGATAATCACAACTGATTTGTGCAATGTGGGTTGGGGCACCTGTCTATAGACACTCATACTCTGAGAATAGAACAGAGTAGAGTAGAGTAGAGTAGAATAGAATAGAATAGAATAGAATAGAATAGAATAGAATAGAATAGAATAGAATAGAATAGAACAGAACAAAATTCAATTCAAAATTCAATTCAAAATTAATCCAAATTAGCACAGTGTAATAAGCCTCCAATTGCACTGAGCACTACTCAGGGTTACAGTTGCTGACATTTTATTGCTGAAAATAATTACTTTGTTATTCAGAAATTTAGATCATTGTCTGAAACCAACATTGGTGGGGCTTCATTATGTTGTTTTTCATTTTATAGGAGCAGATCTTGTAATTAATGAGGTGATGTGGTGGGACCATGGAGTCTACTATTGTACTGTTGAAGCTCCAGGAGACACAACTGGTGATCCAGACAAAGAAATCAAGCTCATTGTTTTGAGTATGTAGCATCATTTGGGGGGATCAAATTGTAGGATTTTTTTTTTGATGCCAACCATGGTGTTTTGGGGTAAATAATGGAAATAACGCAAGAATTGTACGTGATCATCAAGATGCATGCTATTAAATTCAGCTAGAAATTCCTGATGAATACAGCTGGATTGCAGGATGTGTGGATTAACTGTGGATTAACTAGATATGTTTTTTTTTTTAATCACATCTGATCCCTGTGAGTGGTATGTGTCTTCTTCATTGTTAGGTTCTCTACCAGAGGCCTGGGAACTTGAGAGTTCTTAGTCATTCCTAACACTCCACTCTTCTGGACAAACAGCTCTGATGTTGTTTCTGGGATCTGTTCAAGCCATTCTCCCAGCCTAGGAGTCACAGCTCCAAGTGTACCTTGCACTACTGAGATCACTTTGGCATTTACGTTCCACATCCTCTCTATTTGCTCCTTCAGGTCTTGTGCTTCTCCAGTTTCTCATACTCCTTCCTGATGTTGCTGTCACTTGGCACTGCTACATATATCACCACTGCTGTCCTCTGGTCCTTGTCTAGTATCATAATGTCTGATTAATTGGTTGGTACCAAGGTTGGTACTGAGTCTGACCAATAGGCCACAGAATCTTAATCCACAACTTTCTGTGGAATCTCACATCTGGACATGGGATATTCTAGCCCATATATGTGCAGATGTTCCTTTATATTATACCAACTACCGTACTTGTTTGTGCCATTCAATGTATGTTGCTCCTGCCTGCATCTTATACCTTGGCACTGTGCGTTGCACTGTCTGTCTGTTTGGACATTCTGGATCTTGGGTCCTAACTAGCATGGAATACCCCTGATTCTACAGATCCGATGCTTAGTGCTTGTTTTGAGTTGCTATGACAATGGCATCTTTTAGATCAGTCACTGGTAGGATTTTCTAATGTCAATCCTCTTGACTATCTATCAATGATACGTTCCATGCCATGGCTTAATCTTCCTCCCATGTCTGCTACTACTTCAGGGACTTTTTCAGCAGTTTATTTTTGGGTGCCTTCTTACTGATGTACTCCTGGATGTTCAGAGATCTATGATTACTTTAAGTTTCTAATGTTGTCTTATTTGTCTGGGCTTAGCTCTTGTGGTATTAACTGCTACTACATTCTTTTGAGGTCATCCATGTGATTCTCTATATCTGTGCATGATTTCAACCTTTGTTTTAGTGGATTAATGCAAATGTATATTGCTGTTTGGATACTTTGGACCAATATCATCTGGCTCTTCTATGAGCATTACTTATAACAAGGCATTACAATAGAAAATATAATGACAGGGCTGAAATATCTAATTAATCCTGGAAGGAAATGTTTTAAAATCATATTAGTTGCAGTAAATTATCATAACAAATAATGGTTCAGGATATTTTAATGGAATCTTAGGTGAACACTTTCAAATTTGGTTAATCAAACCAGCTAATTTTATTAATACTAAACTGTATATAATTGAAGAAAGGAATCGATTTCATTCTTTTCCTTACAACCACAGAAAGATGTGGATGAACTGAGATTTGAATCATTCTGTCTGAATGTAAGCACTTGATATGAAAGTTAACATCATGAAAAATTGGGAACATTTTCTCTCAGACTGCAAGGTGAGGTACCTAGGAATGGAGAAAACAAAGAATACTGAATAATAATTTGGGGGGTGGGTGTCTTTTACTTGATACAGATTGGCTTACAGTACTCTTCATCATCCTTGGAGCCCTCCTCCTCTTCATGCTGATTGGAATATGCTGGTGTCAGTTCTGCCCACAGTATTGCTGTTGCCATGTACGCTGTGCCTGCTGTCCAACTCGCTGCTGCTGCAATGAAAAAGGTAATCCAGAATTCTTATAAACATAATGCATAAAAGAGGCATGCAAAATGTAGGTTGCTTCCGTATGTTCTTCAATGACTTCAGGAAGTCGGAACCAAAGGAAATACAACTGGATCATGCCAAGAAGGTATGTTTTTCCAGATTTAGTGTCCCTCAGTGTTTCAATTGGCCAGTTGTTTTCTATTTTAAAAAATATTTAGAACATACGTGTGTTTTTAAAAAGGTACAAATAAATACTATAAAAAAGGTACATACAAATACTAGTAACAGTAAACTTCATGTAATTAAAGTTCAGCCACTGCAGAAAAGACTTTCATTTCTGTGGCCACCAGTCTAAATCAGGCAGCAATATGAGGAGCAGCTTTGCCAATTTTAAAGTATAGACAAGTATCATGAATTTTAGTACCTTCATTCCTATGCCTTGTAACCATGTTTTGTTTGCCGTGTATATGCCATTTGTAGATCTAATCAAAGCTTTGTCTGCTGTGAGGCAGCTTTTTGAAATAATGGTTTGCTTTGTAAAAAAAAACTTGCTTGGTGGTGAGTGTTTGTAGTATTAACATAGATGTAATGCAGCAGTTGTCCTCCCATATGGTGTGGATACTCTAAGAACTTCAGAAGTAATGGTTGCCAAAGCCTCAGAAATTCTGTAACACTTCCTTCAATTCTTAAACATATAGAACAGCATTTTTTTAGCCTTTCTACCTGGGAGGATTCCTTGAAATAATGTCCAGGCTTCAGAAAACATCCAAATAAAAGTTGCAAAAAAACTGAAAAACTTCACAATAGAATTCACTTCTAAACAATCCATATTTTACACTGTTTGCATTGGCTGAATTGCAATACATGAAAATTATCACCACTGCGAGCACTAGCATTGTGTAACAAAGTTCGAAAAATGATTTTTTGTGGGAGAGGATTTCATTATCTCTCATGGTACCCCAATCAATCTGTCATAGAACTCCAGACTGTATTTTCTGCAGTTCCTTTCCTCAATTATGATTGAGGCCTAACCGTAATTGCTTTGTTCCTTCGATTAGACAGATTCCCATGAAAAGGAATGTAAGGAGCTTTGGCTGGAATGCAAAAGCTGAAAGACCTCTCACTTTCGTATTGATAAAGTGAACATTTTATCATGTATCTTAAATGTGTCTTAAATCTACAGGTAATTCTTGACTTACACAAGTCAGTTAAGCCCAAAATTTTCACTGCTAAGTAAGACAGTTAAGTGAATTGCATCCCATACTATGACCTGTTTTCCCACTGTTGCTGAACAAATCCCTGCAGTTGTTAAGTGAATCATGCAGTTGTTAAGCGAATCTGGCTTCTCCTTTTAATTTTGCTTGTTGGAAGCCAGCTGGAAAGGTTACAAATGGTAATCACATGACTCCAGAACAGTGCAACTGTCATAAAAAAATATGCCAATTGCCAAGCACCTGAATTTTGATCATGTGACCATGGGGATGGTAAAGTGGTTTTAAGTGTGAAACCACTTATAAGTCACTTTTTTCAGTGCCATTGTAACTTTGAATGGTTATTAAACAAATGGCTGTAAGTCAAGGACTATCCATACTTTAAAATAAGTGAGAAGGAACATTACCCTTGAAGTGCAATGATTTATTATTGTAACTCTGCAAAATACAAAACTATTCAATCAACTTGACAGTTCTGTGAGGAGCATTTAAATTCAGGAATAATATCCATTTTATTTTTCTATTCTCTAGTCCTGGAACGGCACCACTTTGTGAAACAAGCTCAACAACTTCTTCCATGGATGACAAACCACTCCCAGTCATCTTCATACCAATTAAACCCACTTTTGCAGAGAGGTAGGAGCCCCAAGGGATGCTGTCCCTTTGTTGAAGCACTTTGTTTTTCACTTGATTTAGAGTGTTTCCTCTATGACATTATAATACTTCTTTTCTCAGAGGCACAAGAGTAGTGATGGAAAATTTATGGGCAGTAAAGGGATTTTTTTTATCATTTGAAGCTGTTTGTCCATGGAGATCAGATATTATTAAATGTTCAGTTTACTATCTGGGACACATTACAACATATCTACTGTCTTGAGTATTGGCTTTCTTTTTCATGAACTAAATTTCTAACTTTTATGACTATCACACTTGAATATAACCAGAAAATATCCTGCCATTGGCTTTTTACAGCAGTGTTACGTACATTTTTTAGAAACTTTGATTCCTAGGCATAGACATGATTAAGTAGCACAATGCTGAATCAATTGAGAGAAGCTACCCTTTTCAGTTTGTGTTACAAAAGTGCCTTGTGTTGCAAAGATCCTTTGTGCTCTGTGCAAAGGTAACTTTTTAAGTGCATTGTATTCAGGAGCATGCTATCTATCAAAACCAGAGAAAGATTATTTGATCATTAAGATATTTATAGCTTGGCTTTCTATCCAAAGGCACTCGGTGTACCTAAAAATTAATTTAAACATTTTATATTATGTTTTCTATCATTTATGTTCTTTAGATGTATCTCTCCAAAGCAACCAACCATTAATGCCTCAATTTGCCCACGTGCCCTCTAGCAACAAGATATTGGATCATCTTGAATCTGAGATCAGGAACCTTAATCTATCTCAGCCTATGCTACCTTCACATCATGTTGGAAGCAGTCAGCATCCTAGCATTCTCTCTTCTCTGGGCTCAGAGATTGTGGAACGCAGAGTAATCCAGTTGCCTCCTATCATTGAGCGTATCCCATCCTCTCAGAGATCTAGCAGTTCATCACGACCAGGAAGGTCTACACATATTCCAAGACCTCGGAGCAGCACAAATGAAAACCAGAGAGAGGAGAGGAGACGGAGGCGTCGTTCATCTTTGGATGATGATTCTCCTTCCAGCTATGATCAGGAACTATGGGATAGGCATAGAAATCCCAGAAATGAATCACAAAGATATGGCAGCCATCATGGTAGATACTGGCGTTCCACAACAGATGTAGTACCCACCTCGCGTGGCAGAAATAGTTATGATTCCCATCTTGAGACAAGAAGAGATTATTCTGGACAGCAACACTCCGAGAGAAAAAATCAAAATTCACAACGACGAACATATCAACATGACAATAACTTTGCTCATCGGGATCGACGACGACGGCATCGCAGCTATTCTCCACCATCCTCCTGGGAGTCATGGAGTTCCTCTGAAGAACAGGACTATTCCCGGAAAAACAATAGGCCTCAATGTCGTCAGCATCATTCCCCAGACTGGCAGTACGAGAAACCACCTAGTTATTGTTCTGTTGAAGTTACCCCAACCAAGAATAAGAAACTCAGAAAGTCAACAGAACCATCGGTAAATTGTGATATGATGGCTTTTATGATTACTTGAATTATTCTGTCCTGAAACATACCTGCTGGTCTGTAACAGAGATAGGAAATAGAGAATGGGTTACAGAGGGAAGGTGGTGCTTCATAGGGGAGATGCGGCCACCAGGAGTCACAACTACAGTGTCCAACAAGGTGTTGTTGTTTGATAGAAGGGATCCAGGGCATATCCTCTCTACTAGATCTGGTGGGGCAAACAAGAACAGTGAAAGAAAGGTTGTGATTCAAATATAAGTAATAACCAGCACCTTCACAAGAACTGGCAATGCCTGCCATATTGTAAAGCTCTATAATGTGTTCCACCCAAATTAAAGAGAAGCTCTTCAGTGCTGTCAGCTTCCTTACATGCTCAAAATTCAGTAACTATTAAATAGCATCCTTCACGCCAATATGCTAAGGATTGGATGGCTTCAAATCACATGTAAAATGTACTTTAAATTAATCATCCTAAAATGATGAAGTGCATTATAAATGGCTGCTGACTTGTCATCTTTCCTGGCCTCTTACTAATAGCAGTTTTCTTTTTTCTTCTAGGAAAAAGGCAGTTCTCGCAGTGGGACGAGTGTCGTCATTTAACCTCTTCACTCTGCTACTGTATAAAATGAGATTTTGGTGGCTGTCTGAACACGCAGATTTTCATTCTGGCCTTTAATATTATTCACTAAATGTAGCAGTCAGTAACAGGTTTATTTCTCTATCACCATCAGACTGTACTTTCTTGTATTAAAAGTTTTTAACCATTTTTGCACTTTAAAAAATGCAGTAAGATTTTTTTTATTTTACAAAACAAATACTGAAAGATTATGTAGATGATTTCCTTGTCTGGATCTTGAGGTCTTACCTGGTTCTTAATACTCTTACCGGTATTAAGAATACAAAGCTGCAACTGTTTATGAATTGGTGGGGTCGTTTCTGTTACTCCAAAAGATAACAATTTTAATCTTGGGTAACGAACTACAGAATTCAGTCTTGCTTTATTACACATATTGTGTAATAGGATTTTTTTTTTAAATTGAGTCAGGAAGTTTTCTAGAAAATTTTGAGTCAGAAAACTTTCAGATACTAGTGCGTATATCTAGTATCCATAGTTTGCACACATCTTTGTGCTACATTATTTGATGTCGACAAAAATGTAGCCTAATTTGTGAGGTTTGAACATCCAAAGAAACAAGTTGATAAGTGAATTGCTGTAATGTTGGGCAGTAGGCAATAAAAATAACACACCAGTGTGCCTCCAATACATCAAGAAAAGCAGCTAGGATGTCTCTAATGAACCTTAAAGCATGTCCAGTCACATTTAGACTGAATCAGTCTAAGACAGAGAGAGCTATTCAGAACTGCTTAAACTACTTTTGTCATTAGGAAATAAGGTATAAAGTAAAATACTGCTGGGTGTAATTGTTGGAGTGATGCTGTTCAACTTTGTTATTAATGATTTACATGCGAAATTGTGAATGATTATCAGTTTTGTAAATGATACAAACTAGGTGAGAATTACTAATAAGCTTAAAGAGAAATGCAAAATGATTTGTATAGGTAATGTAAAGCTAGAAAACAGACAATTACAGAATGAAACTAAATGATGGCAAATGCAAAGTTACTCATGAAACAAATCAAACGCACAAGTGTAAGATAAATGATACTGAGCTTGATTGTAATATTTGTGAAAAAGATCAAGGAATAGTATTGATTAAAATCTAATTGTGAGTCACCAGTATGATTAAGTTGCAAAATAAGCAGTTTGATGTTAAATTCTATTAAGTACTGTTTCCAAATTAGGATATTTACTCATTTTGTTACATTGTATTGCTCAGACTCCGTCTTGATTACTATGTTCAGTTTGGCCCCTATGCTTCACAAAAAGATTAGAAAACCAGAGAAGGACAGTGAGGAAGATAAGTTGTCTAGAAACTAAGTCTTTACAAAGAGGGGATGAGGAGCCTACTGCACCTGGAGTACGTGAGCTTGATTAATAATCTGCCTTCGGGATCTTTGTATCCATCATGCTTCCTCTGATATCACTACCTTCTCTAGATTGAGCAGGAAAGTCAACAAAAGGTTCATATTTTACACTTGAATGGTAGAATTGTTTATGAAGTCAGGGGTCTTGATAAAGCATGATTTCTGATTGTGTGGAAGCCGCTAATCACAGTAAAGCTTACGATAGGGAGGTTAAATATGGGTGAATTAGAAAACAAATGAGGCCCCATCCTTCTTCCATTAATTTATCTTAATTATAGATATAACATCACTATGTAGGGATTATGGTGGCACTGTGGTTAGAGTGCTGTTGGCTACTTCTGCTGGCTGCCGGCCACCTGCAATTTGGCAGTTCGAATCTCATTAGGCTCAAGGTTGACTCAGCCTTCCATCCTTCTGAGGTGGGTAAAATGAGGACTCAGACTGTTGGGGGCAATACGCTGACTCTGTAAACTGCTTAGAGAGGGCTATAAAGCACTGTAAAGTGATATATAAATCTAAGTGCTATTGCTATTATGAACAGATGTACAGCATTGTAACATTGTGCACTGTGGAAATTAGCTTCTATCATTTGTCAATTTAAACACAGCCATATTTGAAAGGAGGATTAAATAAACTGTTTGAAATATGGTGTCTGGAAGGCTTATATTAGTGGGGCCTAGTGTTGAGTAGTTTTACAGGTGGATTTTTAATGCACTTTTTAATGGATGAGACAATGTTCATTATGCGTCCACTACAAGGGAACTCTGGTCCTATTGTGGCATGTTCTTGATGAATGCACTGGGAGTATGTGTCAGCCAGGAAAGAAAAACTGATGTGTGAGAGTGCATGAGACAGTGCTATCACACCATGGGGATATTTTCACTAATTTCACCAATGTCTTGCTGGCCCCTTGTCATCCCAGTGGCTTGAGGTTCCTGTACAGATTGTCAAGATGTGTAAATAATTATTGCAACCGGTGTTATCCTTTCCTCTCAATTTTGGTGAGCAGAATGGGCCTACCAGAAGAATGCTGGTGGCCATTAGTTACCATGAGATTTTTTTTTAATCTAGTTGGAAGCTTCTACAAATGGTAATCTAAAGCACTGGTACACATGTTCTTTTGTAATGGGAGCTAATAGGGTTAAGGGTCTGTTTCTAATCAACTTGAAGCTATGCTGATCTCCCGATATTTGAACCAGGTTGCTGATACAGTTATATCTGATTTGTCAACTACTTTCAACATTGTATTTCCATCTTTCGCTTTCTATGACGTGGAGTCCCTCAGCATGATCTGTGTTTTTATGCAAAGACCAGGGAGTAGAAAGAAAGTGGATGGTGAATGGGAATGGATGGGTGTGGACAACGCTGAGTGTCTGAGTTACAAGAACAATTATTGTGGTTATTAAGAGGTGTGGGTGTTTGTATGTGCTTTATTACCTTGGAGAAGGTGATGAGATTGGGACAGGAGACTGCAGTTCCATCAAGCTCATGACAGGGCAGGAAGCAGAGGACTGGCTGGAGATGATAGGACCAGTCGTTAAGATCTTCCTATATTCCAGCCCTCAGTATTCATTCCCAAGACCTGTAACAAACTGTAGATGTAATCTTGAGGACCAGGAGAAGATCCACAAAGAAGACAAGTCAGATAAAAGTAATTTGAGTCAAAAGCAGAAATATAACTTGAAAAATCTTAAAAATTAAATTGAGGAGGCGATTTCAGATTTTCACGTTTCTGATACTAATAAAAATATTAGTACACATGACTAATTTCCAAGTCCCTGGGGCCACAAAAGATCTAATAAAATGGTCTACACTTGAAGGGGCTGACAAGATTAGGTTATCAGACTCTTGATTTTCCTAGCATCCAGCTGTTACTGTTAAACACCAGGGTGCTACGTAATAAGACTTGATGATTTGATTGTGAATGAGACTTGCACACACCTTCCCCAACAATAGGCTATTGCTCTGTCCATCTCCATCATTCTAGGACTTTGCAAGGTGATGTTGCCACATAAAAACTCAATCTTTTATACTCAGTCTGTTAATATTCAATTTAAACAAAAGTCTCATAGTCCATAAAATAACATACCACCTTTGCCTTCAAGACATTATTGAAATAGTTGGGAAGAAGTACTGTTTTAGTGTGGTTGCTCCTTTTATAGTCACTACAGCAAAGCTCCTAGCTCCCTGGCAGGACTCCCTCCAAGCTATGCTGCTCACCATAACTTGTGGTCCTGGCAGTTGAAAGTCCTCTTGCCTGCTTTTAATAGTTGCCAGTCTACAAATACTGCCTTTGCTTCATCTGTAGGCCTTTTGCCTTTATTTTTCCTACTATGCACACCTCTTATTAGCTTATGCTTTTATAAGTTCAAAAGACTGGGTGGGGTTAAGCTTTTGCTGTATGTCCTTGAAAACACCAGTGTTTGGCTCAATTAGCCAGGCAGCTGGAACACTGATTTGAATGCCTGGGAGTGCAGATCTGAGGAAATGAATGAATGTCTAGGGAAAGAAGGGAGATGGCTTGTCTTCGTGTCTGCATCTGCTTTTCAAACAAGCAGATAGCAACCCCAGTTCATTCCCTCACATGTCTGAAGTCACCCAGCTGGCTTTCATGACTAAGGGAAAGCTAGGGTCCAGAGTCCCCTGGTTTCTAGGTAAGCACCTTAAGAAGCTACAACAAACTATGTTTCTATGTATAATCAAGACATGAATGAGCCTGGAAACGGGGGAGGGAGGTGTTCTCTTTTTGGAAATATTTGCAACTGTCCCAGTTCTTGAGCTCTCAGTAAGTTTCGATACCTTAGACCAGTGGTTCCCAACCTTTCTGGCTGTGCAGATGGGCAGTGGTGGCGGGGAGGGAGAGGATAGTTTCACACGGGAGCCTGCTGCTTATTCAAGTAGAGCTTTGCATGCATGGCCGCCACTTGCACAACCAAGTTCCCCACAGGCTGCGGACCAGTACCAGTCCGCAAACCAGGGGTTGGGGACTGCTGCCTTAGACCACCAATTGCATTTCCCCTTTGACTAGTATGCAGTTGGAGGAACAAGTGACAACTCTGACCTGTAAGGCATTTCACAAATCCATTGAGCGTATCAGTTGTGTCCATACCCAGACTAGGAGGCCCTTAAAACAGTCACATGCTTTGTTACTTCATGGCTGAATTGCATTCTATATGGGACTGCAAATGGTGCAGAATGCAGCAGCATAGGCAGCTACAGTCACATCACTGCATATCTATAAAATCTCTTTTACCATTTGCATTGGTTACTCGTAGGTTTTCAGGTGCGATTCAAGTATTGGGTATCACATATAAAACCTTTCATGGCATCAGGCCTGGTTGTCTGAGGGACTATCTATGGTTGCTGTCTATTCAATGTGATCTAAGAGTGTTGGCATGCTGTGGGTCCCATCAATTAAGCAGTGCCGCCTGATGGAACCCAGAACTAAGTCATCTCTATTGTAGCACCTGCCCTGTGGAATGATACCACCCATAGATCCCACCTTGCTCTTATTTAAGCAATCGAATTAAAACAGAGCTCATCTCCCAAGCAGAGGTCTAGAGTAGATGGTGGAGCCACCTAGTGCTATAATGATATATCCAATAAATCCAACAAATAAAGAAGTAATTAAATACTTAGCATAATTGATTTTTGATACTTTTTAATACTTTTCCACCAGTATTTTGGGAATATTTTTGCATAACAAAATGTTACTGTGTAATTTAAATCATTTGTTCAGAACTTTGGTACAAAATAAAAATAAAAATCTGGAAAAGTGTCATTTTGTTTTCTCTCCCTACAATATTTTATGCCAGCAAATAAGGTTTTCTTTAGATTGTTGGTACTTCTATCTGTCAATAGATCAGTGGTGGGATTCAACTATTTTCACCACCGGTTCTGTGGGCGTGGCTTGGAGGGCGTGTTTTGCACACGCATGCGCAGAGGGTTTGATGGTGACCTACAATCCTGCACTTTCCCTGTGAGTTCAACAGCTGACGTGTAGCAATACGCTGTACTGCGCGAAGCAGCTGAGTTTCAAATTCAGAGCCAGGGCAGGCCCAGCAGCTGATTGTCAGAGCAAACCAATTCACTCACAGATGATCCTCGGAGCTACCGGTTCAGCCGAATCAGGGCGAACCAGTAGAATACCACCCCCTGGAATAGATCTATTTTGGCCACATGAAGAAAAGAATTGAAATGATGAGTTTCCGGTATAGAAATAGTGCCTCTCTGCAACA